GCAAATTCATATCGGTGTTGAAGAGTATTATCGATCAAAGTGTCCAATGCTGGCTCGTTACATAGGGTGGCTCGCGACGCCGGGAGGGACGTTATCATCTGTCAATTCTACATCGTACATATTTCTACATAACCATTGAATCTCGGTTCATGATAAAACAATGCGCATAGAATTCTGTGCTCGGCTGGTGACGTCAGCCAAATGACATTCTAACGTTGACCCTGTAAGTGTTCTTCGCTATTTCGCGATAAGTAGATATCGAGCTGCTTCGCTGCATGCCTGCCTGAATACTAGGTAGCCCCGAGCCTGTTCTTGTAACCGCACAGGTGAGTCTCACTAGCTGACGTTCAAAGTGAGTCCGAGCATCGACGAAGCGACACCATGGAGAAGAAATTGCCTCTTGTGCAAAATCAGCAGCCTCGCGGGCCAGGACACCGCGTATGGCTGCGTGCTCTCATTGCTACAGTGATACTATGCCTTGCCATCGGCGGCTGGTTTCACAGCCCACAAACACCATTGGCCTTCAGTAGTGACATCGCATCAAATCGCGCCAAGCCAGAGTCGAGATGTCTTCAGCCGTCTGCCCTCTTTCCATCCGGCGGAGAGTGGCTGGACTACATGTACGAATTCATTTCCACTCCAACCTTTGAAAACGCCTCCGTTCTCCGACTATCGGGTGCTGTGCAGGTCCGTACAGAGAGCTTCGACGATTTAGGTGAGATCGGGCAGGACAAGAGATGGGATGTATTCTATGGGTTCCACAATTACCTCAGAGCCGCTTTCCCTCACATTCATGAGGAGCTCAAGGTGGAGAAGGTCAACACGCACGGTCTGCTTTACACATGGCCTGGCTCCGACGAGAAACTCAAGCCGCTGGTATTGATGGCACACCAGGATGTTGTTCCAGTGGAGGAGAAGACCGTCGATTCATGGACTTTCCCACCATGGAGTGGGCACTTTGATGGGAAGAGCATCTGGGGCAGGGGATCAAGCGATTGCAAGAACTTGCTGATCGGTATGATGGAGACGGTAGAACTCTTACTGCAGGCTGGCTTTAAGCCAAAAAGGACAATTGTCCTCTCCTTCGGGTTTGATGAAGAATGCAGTGGATACCAAGGCGCAGGACACCTTGGTCCTCATCTGCTCGAGCGCTATGGGCATGATGGCGTAGCAGCAGTGGTTGATGAGGGCGAAGGCTATCTTGAGGCATTCGGGCGCGGGTTTGCAGTGCCCGGAGTTGCAGAGAAAGGATACGTCGATGTCGAAATCGTGGTACGCACCCGAGGTGGACATTCTTCCATCCCTCCAGACCACACGAGCATTGGTATCTTAAGCGAGCTCATCACCAGTATTGAAGCACAACAATATAAGACATTCCTGGACGATGCCAACCCTTTCCTAGAGTTTCTCTCCTGTGGTGCCGAGCATGCACCAGAATTCCCCAAGAAGCTGAAGAAACTTCTCAAGGAGCGAAATCGCCCAAAGAAATGCAAGGCTCAACCGGACCACCTCGCCCTTGAGGCGGCTAAGATCAGTAAGGCAGCCAAGTACCTTATGCAAACATCTCAAGCAGTGGACGTCATCGGAGGAGGAGTCAAAGTGAATGCACTGCCGGAGACTGCCAAAGCAATCGTCAACCACCGAATCAATATTGGAGAACAGCCGGAGACTGTGTTCCATCATTTGACTCACCTCGCTCGTCCCATTGCGAAGAAATACAACCTTACCCTGCATGCATTTGATGATCAGTCGGAAGCGTATAACTCAATTTCGCTGTCGAGCAACCAGCCGCTTCGTGTGGCTCCTGTTACGCCCACGAACACTGACGTTAACACGCCCTTCAAGGTTCTCGCTGGTACCGTACGAGCAACATTTGGCGAAGATGTCATTGTCACACCTTTCTACATGACTGGAAATACCGACACTCGTCATGTATGGCCTCTAACGAAACATATCTTTCGGTTCGGCCCAGGTTACATCAAGGAAGATGACTTCGGGCTTGGCAACATTCACACTGTCGATGAACACATTTCAATCACCAACCACCTGAAATTGGTCAAGTTCTACACGCTGTTCATCCGCAACATGGATGAAGCGGACCTTGATTCTCATGTCTAACGTTGGTCTGATTAACTTGGAGAGAAACCGAACACGTGTTGATGACCAAGTGCAGTGCATACTTGATCATTGTTGTTGTACCTCTGGGTTCAGCCGTAATCAGCTTCAAAGTCTTATGCCTCGATCTCCCGCGCAATGGACTTCTCGTGTCGCTGGCCTAGCTTATCAGACCACCAGTTTATATCGATCCTTAGTCCGTCTAAAGCACAGGTGTGATCTGGCTCATGTCGAGGCGATTGCTCGCCCGCGAAAATGCTGTAGAGTCTGGTTGCAAAATTCCAATGTAAAGAAATTTGAAAGCTACCCCATTGTATAACGCATCTCCGCAAGGTTCGAGATGACGTTCAGCTGGAGCTGCTGGAAGATCAGAGATTAGAGCATGCTCACGTAAAGCAAACCTTGAATGGACGAGCTAGACCCGCGCACCTCACCTCATCGTTTGACACTCCTCGTGATTTCAATTTGCAGGTGCTTCACGAGCCAATTTCGCTCGAGCAAGTATTTGCTTTCACATTATGGCTGACGTCTCGTCGGTTCGCGTCCTAGCTATAGCCAGCCATGTGGGTGACTCAAACAGATAGTCGCCGCCCAACCGCTGATTTCGTTTAAAGGTCACTTCCGGGTATGAATTCCACTACAGATCATCCACAATATTACGAACATGAGCTGAATCAATAAAAAGCTATGTGGGTAACACCATGGCCACGTTCTGCTTGCAGACATTGGGTTGTGAAGTTTCGGCGATCCACACAGTCAATTACAGTAGGTATAAGAGTGTTTGACCTATCGAGCACAGGACCATGCTAAAGCTCCGATTAGGCAACCATGTGGCCTACAGACGCTTCAAAGGGCGAAAGTCAACGTCTGAAGAAGTAGCGGAGCTCTATGCTGGCCTCAAAGAGACTGGTCTGGCCAACTTCGAAGTGATGCTCTCAGGCTATTGTCCATCCGCGAGCGTGGTGGAAGAAGTGGGCAAGATCGCGAGAGACGTTAAGCTGAGAGCCAATACTAGACCCGGATCATTCTTCTGGGCTTTGGATCCGGTCATGGGTGACAATGGCCGCCTTTATGTCCCCGAGGAGACCGTGCCGATCTACAAAGGCCTTATTCGAGACGCGGATCTCATTCTTCCGAATCAATTCGAAGCGGAGCTGCTCTCGGAGGTGAAGATCCATGACCTAACGAGCATTTCCGAGGCCATCACAAAACTGCATCAGGAATATAACGTCCCTCACGTTATCATCACGTCAGTCCGCTTATCGTCTGATGGATCCACGGCCACGTCGTCTCAAGACTCCGCACAGCCAGTCGCGACACTTTCGGTCGTGGGCTCCACAGCGACTACAGATTTCAAACCGCGACTGTTTCAGATCACTGTCCCAGCCTTCCCCATCATGTTTTCCGGCACGGGAGATATGTTTGCAGCGCTGGTCGTTGCGCGCCTGAGACAGACCGTTGACCAGGCAGGTGTTCTCGATCAGGCCCAGTGGCGAAGCCCAGACGAGGTGGCAGCCTCTGACCTCCCGCTGGCTAGGGCGACGGAGAAAGCTCTGGCGAGCATGAACGCGGTGCTCGAAAACACGGCAGCTCACTATGCAGCAGTAGCTGCATCTTTGGAGAGCGATCCCTTGATGGCTTTACCAGAGGACTCGCCGGAGGAGGCGATCGCGACGAACAACATGCAACGCCATTTACGTCTCACTCACGCTGCTGAAGTCAGAGTCGTGCAGAATACAGAAGCACTGAGAAACCCGCCTCATCCGGAAGATTTTCGAGCGCATTCACTATAGAACATGGACCTAGAGAGACAAATATACTTTGTCGCCGAAATAAACGTGCCGCTCGTTGATCGTTGAACATTGGGGGAATCATATCCAGAGCATCATGTAAAATGTGTGTTGTGAAGTCATTCATTCGTGTGACGAAGACAAAACCCCAAATGGAGAAAACGCTATGCGTTCCGTGCCCAGTAGCACCCACATGCCGCCGCTTTTCCCATCTCCTCAAACATGACGTTACACGTTCAACCTGTTCATTCGTCATCGCCAATCTTGGGTGCCAAGTAGAATCGAAGATAGCTGTTGTTGCTGATCTCGTACTCGACAAGCAGAGGAACCTCGTTGCTTAGACACAATTTAACGGAGTCACTCAGACCGCTAGCCTTGCAGAAGTTCACGAGATACTTCAATGAGAAGGTCAGGGCGACGGGCTCCGAGAGGTTGATCTCGACGTTCTGCTGGGGCTTGTCGACGTTGGTGTGGGAGCGGAGAGTGATTGAACCATTTCCAATATCACCGGTGCAGGTGAATTTGACGCCGTCCTTTGTGCACTCGATCGACACTAGTTCCACTCGTCAGCAATGTTCTGCTTGCCTCGAAGCTTTCCTAACTCGTCTCAGGAGACAGAACTCACCTGACTCTGACAGTGCAGACAAATCTCTGCATATCCGCTGGAACTCTGCGCAAGGCATTTTGATGGTGGCAGCGTATTCCGTCTCTGGAATTCCCAAATGCTCCTGGTCGATGTCCATGAGTTTGATGTCATATTCACTGATTCTGTCCGTCTCTGCGTTTTCAAACGTGAAGCCGACGACATCAGGAGCGTCCTCTGCCTTCATCGTCAAGATGTCCTCGTTGGCCGCGCATCGCAGGACCTTGGTCAGCGACGTTAGGTTGATTCCGAGAGCAATGTTGCGGTCACATCTGAATGGTGAGAACGACTCGGACTTGAGCATCATCGAGACCAGGGCGACGTGTGAGTTGTCCATGGCTTGGAGGGCGATTCCAGAGTCATTGCAGTCGAAGTTGCAGTCCTGTACAAGGTCCTTGATCGCGTCGACCACCTGGAGATGGTCGGTCAGTCAGTGAGTGAAGGCTTGGGTGGGGCTGAATTTCGATTGCACAATACCTTTTTCAGTAGGGATGCTTGCTCTAGACGTGCTTCCAACATCTTGACAGGTGTGCGGGTGTATGTCTTTGTGCGGGACGGATATGGGTTATGTGAAGCTTGCGTAAGGTATGCAATTGAAGATTGTATCACCACATGAAATCGGTTTGTCAAGCAAAAAAGGTGGGATGGTTGGAGACGCGACGCGGGCGCGCGTTCGCGTCAAAGTGGCACCTCGCGATAAAGCGCTTTGGCCACCGAGAGCATTTTCACAGGTGCTCACCGTGCTCATAACAATGTGCGCAGATGCTCGGTCATTTCACTGTGTAGGCAAAGGCAGAAGACCACTACATGCCACGAGCCTCATCCGTTTCGTCTGAGAAGGTCATACAGAATTGGACTACATCGGCGCCATGAAGCTCTCTTTGCTCATCACATGTCGTGCGTATATGCGTCCCGTTGAAGAAGACCTGCGGGGAATATCCAACTGTCGGCCCACGAGAAACGATTTCTCTGCGGAAGGTGTTGCATGAACTGGTGCTCAAGCGACATGAACCTTTTCCGCGGGCTGAGGCCTCGCGCGATGCAAATTTAGCATGACCATGGCAACCGCCCACGACAGAGCCGGGAGATCAGGAATAAGCCTGATCTCATGCACATGAACCCAAGAGATACCTTCGAGAGTTTGTGAGGACCCATTCCCATCGCGTTCAGACGCCAATCCTGGTCCGCGATGTCGAGCGAGGGTTTAAACCCACACTTGCAGAGTATCTGAACGGCCTCGCATGTCGCGTGGACGATGCGGGGCTCCGGCCACCGAGCCGGGCGGGCAAGGGGAGATTCCGAAACTGCCTACGACTATTGTCCACTGCGGCACACGTGCTCTGGTGAGCCGACTCATGCCCCGCAAGCACCTGCGACAGACGGTCGATCTGCAGGAAGACCTTGCCGAGAAAGGCGGTCTGTCGGCTCTACAGCTGATGACACAACCGGATCGTCTGGCAGGGATCCGCCGCGCGAGCGACAAATCGCAGGAGGCCTTTCCGAATGTCGCGGTACCTGCGGAAGGTCACCCTCTGCAGCTTGATCATCAGTGGCCGGTCCGAGGCACGTGGCCGCTGGAGGAGGTTATTGACCCGCGCTTGGTCGAACACGTTGATCCGGCCCTGGCAGATGGGTGTGTAGGAGGCGTGGACGAGCCGATCCAGGCATACGGACAAGTCATTGCTGGCTCCAGTCAGGGGCTAACCGTAGTGAGGCAAGACGGCGAGCATGGTTGCAAGGCGCAACAACGTATAGAGAAAACCCTTCGAGTTCGTTCAATTTTGTTTAGTACCTAAGGCTAACTAGCACACAACACGGTTGGTTTCACGTCTCGTATTAAAGCCACATGCTGCCCACGCACACGCACACACCCATGTAGCTCCCGTCCCAGTCTATTGCACCACAATCGAGCTGCACCCGGGCGGCACCTGGTCCGCAAACGCCTGCTCAACAAATTGGCTCACCATACCCCGGGCATTCAATCCAGTATCGCCGTGATTGAGCTGCGCATAGCTCGTGAAGCGAACGTTTCCGCCCTGGCGGCACCAGTTGTTGAACAGGGTCGGGACGTTGGCGTAAGGGACGACCTCGTCCAAAACCCCGTGGTAGAGGTTCACGGGTGCGGTGGGTACCTCAGCGGGTTCGAGGCCGAGGATGTTGTCAGTGAGGATGGTTGATAGGGGAGGTGTGTAGTAGAGACGGTCGCCTGGATGGGGAGAGGAGCCAGGGTTAGATAACGTACTCGGAGTTTCAGACAATGAAACAAAAGGGGCTTTTCATGCCTATTACGTTGTGATGGGGTTATGGGGAAGTGACCCGGTGAATAGAGAAGTTGACATACCAAGGATTTGGAAGTTCTTGCTGATGACGGACTTTTTGTAGAAATTGAGCAGATCGGCGGGCGCGCAATTCCTGAGAGTGAAGTCCAAGACGGCGCGACCGGCAGGCGTGGCGATGCGGTCAAGGAACTGGCGCAGCAGGGTACCGTAGGCATTAGGCTTGGCGAGGCCGGTAAGGACAGCAGGAATGAAGCCCGATGCGGTCGCGTTGTCGAGGAAGCTAGTCGTGGAGAAGTGGAGGCGTTAGCTAGCGCACCTGACCGCACCCGGAGGGACGGACGGATCGATAAACCAGCAGATCTTACAGTGCAGTTCCGGTGAGGTTGGCAGGAATACCGCCCGAACTCCAGCCCTTGATCTTCAACTCGGGTGCGTAAGCTGTTTGAAGAGAGGCGGCCCAGCTCGTAGCGAAAGCACCTCCACTGTATCCGATTCCAACAATGCTATTGTTGGAGCTTTGGAGTCCTAAGGTAGATGCGAAGTTGTTTACGGCGCGCATGCTGTCGAGAACTCCTCGACCTGCGAGGCGGCCGGCGCCGAACGCGGCGTCGAAGGACTCATAGTCAGGACTGGAGACGATGTAGCCCTGTCCGAGGCTGGTTCAATCGTAAGCGAATGGATCTTTCTTATTCATTGGGCTCTTCAGGAGACATACTAGGACTGGAAGCTCAGCGCATCAAGGGCGATGAGGATATTCTTTTGGAGACGTCAGCTAACTTGCAAGTCGCCTTGACATCGGGGGCCGTGGAGACTTACATTCTGCTCGGCCAGCAGCTGGTAGTTGTACGAAGGCGCACAGTCGACAAACGAGCTATCCTCTGGAGCCTGGACGGAGATGAAACGGCCTGTAATCACAGGAACGAGCGGGTTTTTGAAGATGGTTGTCACCGTCGCAATTGGCGTGCCATTGAGAGCGGTGGTGCAGTACAAAAGCTGCCAACCTTGAAGGGGCAAAGGCGCCAAGCCCAGAAGAGCTGGGGCGATGGTCCGAGACTTGAGAATCGTTCCTGGAGCGAGGCGTTCGAAGCCTGGCTGCGGCTGATAGAACGAATCTACGGAAGGCTTGAGAGGGAGCAGAGCGTCCACAGCAGCTGCTGCCAGACCGATAACAAGAAGTCCGATCTTGCTGAGCAACATGGTGCAGATTTTGTGAGGAATGAAGATTCTGTATATAGGCCTTGCAGGTCGAGGGAAAAGAAGATATGCCGGAAGAAATTCGAGCTGGCAACAACGGATTCGATCACTTCTTTACAGAAGGCACTTTTCAGCCAAACCATCGGAGGAGGTTGGATGCTTGTACGGATTGATGGCAAACCTGCCTGAAGCGCGCAGATGCCAAGCACGAATGATGGTGTACAAGTGTTGTTGGGAAAGATGATCATGGGTGCATATTTCGACGCGAGCGGCGACAATTTCATGCGGAACACCCTTCGGACAAGCCTTTTTGACATGTACCGTACGTGCGTGTACCGTATCGAGGTAGACATATGCTTGAACCATTGAAGTGAGGCGTTACTCGGATAGGAAGTCCATGGTGAATAGGTTGCTCCCTCTTGGAGGACTATCGGCGCGTCAAGTCACAGCATCTTCCAGGTCATGCGCGAAGAAACCGTAAAGTGATCAGCTGAGGGCTTCCAAGGTTGTCTGCGAGTGATTTCACATCTTCCGAACGCGACAGCAGCCGCATGTGCATCGCGCTCGGCCCATGCTCCGGGCGTGTGATGATGTAGGACGACGAAGACGAGCTCGGTCAGGCCCATGTATAGTACACTTGGTAGTATACAGTATCAGGCAGGTGGGTGGGTGGCAATCTCCGCCAAGCAACGAAAATCAATCACGCAAGAACACGAGCGCTCCTCCCGAGGTCAGTCCGAATCCTCACATGCAGGTAGTCGTGATCACTTGGGTATTGTTGTCCTCGTTATTTCTGGGATGTCGTTCTCATCGTCTTGCCGTTGTGATCTCCAGCTATGTCCCACAGCTTGTCTTGTAATAACTCCCGAGGTCATCACACAGCCCGAGCACGGAGACAGGGACCGGAAGCGGAAGAGGAAGAGGAAACATAAGCCTTGAGCGCAGGTCGCACAGATGAGAGTCTCCAATGCGATGGGGCCAATACCAATAATGCCCGGGTTCCAGGTAGGTGACAAGGCTGCTACTGTACCCAGTACAGTACTGAACCTTGTTCTCTAAACATTATTCCCTTGTCCAGATACCACGGGCATCCTTTCATCCGATCCAAGTCATTTGGCATATTTTTGGTCATATGGCATAGCGACGGCATGTACATGTACCACGACAGCCCACGACATCAAGGAATTCGGCGAAAGGTCGGTGGGCGTGACAGATGAATGAGTTATTGGGTAATAATCGTCTTGCATAAAGCATGTGACGATGCTGGAATAAGAGTTCAGAGGGAAGGCGAAACGTTCTCCCCACATTTCAAAGGACGTACCCCGGTGATCTGATCACCACGTGCTCACGATGAACTCACGCCTCGCTCTTGCACGACGCGCACAGATTATGCCAACAGGTCCAGTTTCTGTCGGCTACCTAGGTAAACAGGTTCTGTTATCGAGGAATGCAGCATATAAATTTCGCGTATCAAAAATTCGTCGGCGGGAGTGATAAATAACGTCATCTCAGGTGAATCGATTATCATCACAGCGAGGCCTCTTCGGGTGATTCTTCGCCACATCAAACGCAAGCAGTAAGCGGGGAGTGACAGCGAGTGGATACGGCTGACTGCGAATATTATGCAGAATATCGGGAGGTCATCGTTGTTGTCCATCGGCTAGGAGAGGAGCCTGGCTTTCTGGCAAAAGTATTTGGCTGTCGGCGATCGCGTTTATGTCTACGCTCCGCTTTTCCAGGACAGTTGTCATATTTCGCAGGGCCCGCTTAGCAGCAAGGCGAGTTGTGCACTGGATCGAAGTTCTCTGTTGTCCTCTCTCGGCGCCGAGGCAGCTCACGAACCAGTAGTAATTGTTGACGTTAATTGGCAAGAAGACGGACTTGTGAAGCGTCGGATTCAGCAGACGGTAACGATGCGCTGCCGTGTATCAATCGCGTTGGTCTAGACGGACGACACCGCGCTTCATCACGAACACGTAGTTGGACACTGGCTCGGGAAGCTCTAGGGCGGCGATGATCACGGTATCATTGAGCCAGGCTCGTCACAATCGATTCCGCCGGGATGTCGTACAGGTCCAAAACCGTGTCATCGTCGAGCGTGTGATCTCTCCTGCGGGTGTAGGAGTTTTTTGATCTGGCGGTCGTCCTTCTGCTTCCTCCCTTTCTGGCTCAGCCATCCGACCTAGTGCTTCCTCCTCTTCTCCAAGCTTGACAGTCCGTAAATTTGTTTCCTACTCTTCTTCCAGCTCGGCAGTCCGCAAACCACGGGATGCGAAAGGCTCCTTGCTGCTTCCGCGTGACTCTAATGGGAAACTTCAACAGGGTCTTCTCCGACGGTAGGCAGTGCTCCTTGAAAGTGAATCGCGCATGGGTGAACGTTGAGGCTGCGATAAGGTTGATGCGAACGAACCTTGGAAGCCATCAGCAAGGCTGTGCCGTCAGCATCCGAGCAGCGACCCGGAGGATCTGTCTGGATGCGCTCGTTCGAAAGGTCGCTGTCGTGCTTATTCAAGGATCGAAACGAGGACAGCACCTCGTCCGTATTCTATTCATCACTCGGAGTCGAGGTCCTGAGCGTTCTAGGGAGGTCTGCTAGTTGTTTCACAATCGATCACTGGTAAGGTGCGCGTGCCAGGAAAGCCACCTGCACGGTCATACCTTTTTGTGCTCTTCCGTCGGACCATACAGTAGTACTTAGCACCGATACACACAAATACTTTCGCGACATCGCTATTCCGTCATGCTGCCGCATCGTTATCGCGCGTCGTGTGGTACTGTAGGAGTCGACATGGTGACCATGCGGTGTGCTGATGAGCGACAAGCATCAGGTCAGAGACAAGCGGCCGGGCAAACATGAAACCGTTCGGCCGCAGCACCACATACATAGTCCCTAGTGATGTATGTATCGTCATTTACCCATGTACCTAGGTGTTCCTATTAAGGACCATCACCCTCGTCATTCTCGAAATTAGCCTCCGCTCCTCGGCATCTACTCCGCCTTCTCTTTGTCCTCCTCTTTCCCCTCGATTCGATTTCCGAAGGGGTGGTGATACTGCCAACGTTCGTTCGCAGCCTCGGTGAGGCGGTGCCCGCAAACCCGGATTGGTGCTAGCCTTGGCGGTCCGTTCCCGAATAAACTCCGCCTAATGTATGCATTGCGACATACATATACATGCAGTACAGCCTACCCTCGTGCCCACCTGCGGACTGCAGATCCATCGTTCTGGCGCAAAAGGTGAACCTCGAAATGCTGCATGCGAGTGAACGACAGATGAATGGAGACATTTCATATTGACGGCTCGCCTTTGGCCGTCTATCTCGAAGGTAAGTTTGTGCGCTCCTGACCGAACTGTGGTTCGGATGACTCGTGGCATCTCCTTAACATGCCCATCATCCTTCGCTGCCGCATAGACTGACATGGACACAGGTCAAGGCCGTTATGACCCAGATATCGACGAGGTCGAAGCCGCAAGTGAAAAATCCGAAGCGTCCCGAGACCAACCATTCGCACCCTCAGGCGACAGCATATCGCTACCCCGACTCCGTCGACCCATTCTCCCACCTATCCAAACTCAACAACCAACCCAGACGACCATACGAAAAGTGCATAATGCGTGGTCAACCGCAGTCAATTCTAGATTGCGGCGAGCCGATAACGCCAAATTCATTGAGCACTTCCGGTATGTGATCGTCGCTTCTCAGCTGCTGGACGAGCATATTGATCAGGGCGCTCTCAACCCGTCTCTGCTTTTAAATCCTTGCTTGGACGGCACCACAGAGCACGCAGATGCACCCAGAGTTTCGACTAGTCTATATGGAGCAATCGTCACCGCGGGCGCTGCATTCGCGCTGGTATATCTATTGCACTGGTCACGGTCCAGCCAGAGCGGATACATGAGCTGGGGAAGAATAGTACTGGCAGTGGCGGCGTTTTCTGCTATTGCCATCTTTGGATATGCTTATGTTCGCAGACAATGGTTGAAATTTATCCGCACGAACGCAATCAATGCGGCGTCGGGCTTGACCACGAATTGGCAGGCTTTTGAACTATCTTCAGCGTCGGCGCTCTCTTTCATTCAGGAGGTGGAGCTTGTGTCCAAAGGTTACAGGCTCAGCACGCCGCTGCCACCCGCGACACGAATAGAAGATCCAGGACCAAATCGGAGATGCGTTCGGCATCGCAAGATCCTATGCAGGGCATATGCCTCCATCATTTCGGCGTGCGTAGAGGCACGCAGCACCTTGCAACGATTTATTCACGAAGACGACCTTGAGAAATATTACGAAATTTATGACATTAATGCACAAGAGGCCCAGGAGGCCAGTCTGGAAATCCTGGATGAAGACCCGGAATCCCTGAAATCACTCCGGATGTTGAGCTATCGAGCCGGTCTCCTTCGAAGGACGGCGTTATGTTCACTGATGGCCCTCGAAGCGGACGGCGGCCATCCAGACGTCTACAGATGGCGTGTCGCCACGGAAGTCATGGAGAATCTGACCATGACCACGACATCCTCAATGGAGACCTTGCGCCGCATGCTAAATGAAGTCGATGCTCTGAGAATACCAACCACACCTGCAGCAGCCAAGTCTCACGAGCCTGTCCGGGAGAAGATGAGAAGTCAAGTGCGCAAGATCAGTGCGCTCTCATCCGGTATCAAGGGACTGCAGGCCAAAATGCAGATCTTACGTGAGGAGACCAATAAATCAATTGAGCAATCTGATGATTTGACCGATCTTGGGCCTAGTATGATGTCACACTACGACGCCATTGGGGCCGATCTCAAAGATCTCATCCAGGCCTGGGAGGCCGGAAAAGCCGCTCTGCAGAGCAACATCATCAAACACGAACGCCGTATCTCACGTGCATCTTCAGGCGGCATGCGCTCACCCGTTACGAGTCTTAGCGGGCTTACTGCCGTCGACGAAGATAACGGTTCCCTGTCCGACGCGCTCCGCATTCTTAGCGGGGAAACTACATCTGGCAGCAAACACAGCGGCCGCACCTCGCCCACCAACACCTCGCCTTCAGAAGAAGAGACTGTTTTCGAGGCCATCGCCATGCCGCGACAACGACAGCGCAGTAGCACCCTGTCTCGCACCGAACGCATTCTAAAGATGCAGGAGGAGAGAGATCGTCAGGCGGCACTGCGCGCTCGGCGAGATGCAAATACAGGCATGCTGCGCGAGCTGGAATCGGTCATCAAACTTCGACCTCAACGCACGAGCACGGGCAACGTGACGCTGAAAGGACTCTGAAGTATACTTGTCACACTCGTGGCACAACTATCAAATCTCCGATGCGTGCGTCCTGTCGAGGACGTCGGCCTGCCTTTCGGGGCCCTATCGGATTTTCTCTTTTCCCCGATGCTATCATTCGGGAATTCTGTTTTGATAGAAACCTTCTGATCTGTCGTGGAGCGATCAATTGCGGTGGCCCCGCACCTCTTTATATACCCTTCTTCCTCCATCGATTTCGAGGATGGCAACATGTTACGATCACTTGCGCTTTTTTGTTTTTAATTGAGCCAATACTGGATAATGAAACCTTTCTCTGATTCACCCCTCAGACCTCCTTTGAACGAAGAATTTCTTCGGCGAAGTTTGTGCCCCCTTCTCAATGTGCCGATGCAACATGTCTCACGTATTTCGCGGGGGAGAAGTGAGACAGTGTAGAGACATGCCTTGTAGAACAAGGTTGATGACTCGATGTAGTGCGTCGAACAATCGCGTGTGTTATGTACTAAACGGTTTCAATCTAAATAGAGGCTCTATCAAAGAATGTGAGTCAAGTGACTTCTCTCAGGGTATCCCATTTTCTGGCACATGTCTGGCCCTCCCAAAATTTCCCTTTTCTTCCCAAATCTTGTAAAATCATTCGCTCGCTCGCTCGCAATGAAAAACATCTCACTCAAAACAGAGAAGAGACACATCCCAGAAAAAAGTGTTAAAACAAAAAAGGTCGCACAGTCAGCCTGCTGCCATCCTACCGGAAATCAAAGTTCGATCTGAAAGTAAATCCAAATCGCGGCGCCAAATGGTCGCTCGCGACATAGACCAGAGCGCGCGTTGGAAAAATAGAAAGAAAACTCGGGTGGAGGGTATAAAAGAGATCAACAAAGAAAGGGTAGGGGATTCGTTGAGTCGTACGGCCTCAGAGGCCTGACGGGATGAAGGGTTCCTCACAGTCGGAAATTGGATTCGTGCGCGATGAGGTAGTCGTAGGCATCCTGGCGGAAGTCGTCGCTGATGATCTTTTGACCCTTGACGTCGAAGTTGAGTAGCTCCGGCGCGGAGTTGTTATATTGTGGCCAGGGGATCATCGCACCGTCCGCACCCATGGCGTTGGGATCAAGGTGGTTCACGAAGCTGATGTAGTACTTCTGGAAAGCATCAACCAATGCGCTATTGTCCGAGGTGCCGTAGAGCACTGGCATGTCGCTACCGTGATATGTGCCCAGGTTACCTGTGTCGTGCAACCAGGTAGATAGATAGCTCCAGCTGGGCATCTCTCCTGAGTAATAGTGCAGAATGCGGCGGCGCTGGAGCGCACCGAGGAGGTCTCCGGTGACGGCAGCGATGCGCTTGAACTGAGGATAGATGTTGTACTGGTCTCCAGTTCGGAAGGGACTACCGAAGGGCTGTCCACCTTCAGGGTCGTCGTGATATTGCTCAAGAAGACCTGCGACATGCTCATTTGCATCAGGGTCGCCTGGGAAGAAGCTGGCCAGGTAATCTGTCAATTCGGCGTTGGTTGTGATGTTAGTCAGGATGGCAGCTAGAAGGGTTCCTTCATCTTCTTGGCAGCCTGCACCACAAGGTCAGCTTATACTCGATTACCAAATTTTGCGACAGGGTTGTGGCTTTGCTCTTACCTGTAATGATTGGTACTTTGGTGAACTTCCCTTGGGCGAGAGCAAGCTCTGGAGACTGCGGGTAGAAGGAATCATCTGGTCGTGGTGCGAAGCTCACGTCTATCGTGCGGTAGCTGAGGAGGGCCGGGACCGAACTGGATGCATAGAGGAAAGTGGTGTAATCCGCCTTGCGCATGCAGTCGAGCTTATCGACAGCATCGCCGCAATGGGCGGCCTTGGCAATGTCCTCGAACACGCTCTGCGCCTTTGCGTCTCGAACTCCGTTCACCGGGATCATGGCCCCGGAATTCATGACAGCGCCACGGAACAAAGGCTTGCCTTTGTATGTGTTGTCGCCGTCGTGGATTATGAGGTGATCGAATGTGGACATGGCGCCAGCACTTTGGCCCCAGATGGTGACCTTCTCTGGATCGCCACCAAAAGCTGCGATGTTTTCTGGACAAAGGTCAGTATCCTGTTGGTAAAACTTAATAGCGAGGTGGACGCTAGTCACCTTGAACCCCTGTAGCACGAGTTAGTACAAGTCCGTCTGCTAAGCATGTCTCAGAAATCGATGAGGTACTTACATTCCATAGCCAGGCGTTGATCTTTGAGACCGAGGTTGGTAGAACCTTCGTCGGCTAGCTCGTTACCTGCGAGGAATCCAAAGGCTCCCAGACTGCCCGAATGGTTAGATCGACGAGTTAACTGCTGTAGACGAACACGATCTTACCGATAGTTGACCGCAACATAGATGAATGGCTGGTTGAGCGCGATTGACTTTTGAACCAACGGGGTTCCGTCTTGTTCAGAGGTTGCACCGAATTGAAAGCCACCCCCAGGAATCCAGAAAAGAACTGGCAATTTGTCTGACGGACTAGTGTTGGCAGGCCGGATGACATCGACGGTCAAACAATCTTCGCCATAGTTGAGCAGGGCCTGAACAGGCGGCGATCCGTAGATGAAGGCGAAAAGATTAAGGAAGGTATTGTCTTGGTTGATTTGTGTGTAGAATTGAGGGCAGCCGCGAGCTTTGTCGGCCGTGGCATCTATCTTGCCCAGGTTTCCTAGATGAATCGGATTGTCAGAACTAGAGCTGGATCGATTCGGAGAACGGATCACTCACTTCTGATGTGTTGTGGAGGTCGCAGCCGCAAGTCGCCGACTGGTGGTTCGGCATAGGGCACTCCACGAAATGAATCGATGCCATTCTTAGTCTTGCCATTGATGCTACCAACGTTGATGTCGATTGATGTAGATCCGTATCCGAAGAAGAGAGGAGTTGCTGTAGTGAATGTGAAGAACAGGGTAGCCACAGATGCGAACAACATGTTGGCTTAGTCGGCGATGGCCAGGACAGCATACACGAATCTTCTTGTGATCTGCAGAAAGGAAGCAAGGAAAGGACGGCGTAACGGTCGCTAATATATGTATCAAGAAGATCAATGAAGATCAAGAGAAAAGAATGACGCAGCAAGGTGACCATGCAGCCACGCGATGGAAGGGATCTGACCAACCTGTGAAAGGAAAGATGAACATCTTCTTTGCACCTCTGAGAAAGGCGAAGGAAGAGGACCAAGATGCCACGTCGAGATCGCTTGGAAGTCAAACTGTCGAACGGCTTGGGACTGTCCGACGTCTCCCGGGAGAAGGACGATGGTTGCCAGCCCATAGCTCTGTCGAAATTGTCCGTGCATCGCGACATCAACGGCTCCATCACGCACATCGCACGCAAGCTGTAGCTAAATTACGGTCAGGGTTTTATCGTTTGCTGGACAAACGGTGAACTTTGTTTCCTTGGGTTTGGGTCGTGAGGGTCATGATGCATGTACAGCATGCAGGAGGTGGTTGGTAAGGAGAGGTTGCATATCCAGGGACATCATATTGTGCTCCAGGACCTTCTAGGCTCGCATGTCGTACAAGATATGCATTCAACACGTCTGGTGATGAAATGATACGGCGGTACAGCCCCTTCTGCATCACAGGCGCACATCGTTGTACACATATACAGTTATGGTACGGCGCAAGAAATTCTGACGTTCCTCGTACCCATTGCCGTAGCACTACTGTACAGGCAAAGTCAGTAATGTCCACGAGCGATAAGTAAAATTCGTGTGTGCATTGTTTGGTGTCGGGAAAGGTGTACGTGTGTGTAGTTAGTGGTTAGGGCTCTTTCATCCTCTCCCAGAGGAGGGTTTCAACTTTCTCTTCGCGCCTCCTTTTGGTCGGCATGACCCGAATCCTCTACGTCCCGTTTAGGCAAGTGTATTATTTAGTACAGTAAAATTTAGCCTGGACATCAGGTTTTATTAGGACGAAAGGAGTCGCCTGGCGCTTTGCATTGTCCATCTCCTCGCGTATTTTTAGGTGCTGTGACGTCCAACGGTCAACGAGGGTTTATGCCATTCCTTCCCCTGTCACAAAGATCTGGCATGTGATGATGGGCGCGTCGGAGAAAGCCATTTCCCACTTATCTGCTATCTGTAGTACAACTTGGCCATGTCCCATTGAGTTTCTTAGACCGCCCATGAATGGCTCTGGATGGTCGTACTCCTGGGAAGACAGGGTCGTGAGGGCCGCACCCACCATGTTTTCATTGGGAATATTCAGGTTAGCATAGACTGAACGACATCGCTCCACTCGTACTCATGCCATTGATAAGAGATCGCCCGGGTTATGCTGATCCCTTCCCAGAAGGTTTGCCGTCTGCCTCAACGTGTGTTTCCGATGAACAGGTGAACAGGTGGTTAGGTGTTCTGTCCAGCCGCCGCAACACACCATACTCGTTTGAGCACATGAGCAGCGTCGACGTGATGAGTATGATTCCGTCCGGCCATTGTGCATCGTATCTCTGTGTGGTAGGTTACATTCAGAATATCGGGTACTGATGTGCATAAGGTTGTGCATCCATCGCGAAAGATGACGTGGGTACGGTTCACCGTGGTGGTGGTGGTGGTGGTGGTGAGAGAGAGGCTTGTAGACGGAATGGTCAGCAAACGTTGTACATTTCTGCCTTACGCGGGTGAATATGCGAGTCCACTTATCAGCATCGTTGCGGCTGGTGCGACCGGAATCCTCCCGTTGGCTCCGGCAAGAGTTTCGTTCCAGCTTCCGGGGGTCGGCCTCACTGCCACTTGGAACCGTATGCGAGCCCACCTGCATCATCAGCAAAGATAATACCGCATCTCGATGCACTATCATGGCCGCGACGCTGAGCCGATGATCTTGAAAATAAGGCATCACATGCGCTACAAATGATGCTACGGGTGTGTTGGATGCATCCGTCGTGAGAGGCTCTGGTATTGCTCTAGCACTACTGCAATATCCACATTGAGAATGTGCAGCAACAGGAAACAAGAATTGTGTACAGTATCCCAATGCATATCGCGAGTTGTGCACAGATCACACGACAACCCACGAAAAGGTGTGACATATCTAATCATTGTACATACCACACGACACAGAGAGGTCGTCGTCCTGAATCCGCGTGCGAACTACCAGCGACCCACCCTTATGGCAATCGTCATGTCTCCTGTAGTGACGAGGTTCATACCCTCCCTATTCAGATAGTCCATGCCTTACTGACCGCCGTGTATGTTCTTTGTCGTCAAAATCATCGTCGAGGCAGTTCTCGGCGCCAATGAAATTCGCTAGAGGATGACTTCAGCTAGTCCGTGCTGAGCTCTCTGATGGTTGGCCAGATCATCGACGGATGTGTAATGGTACCCGCACGCAAGGCATCCCTCGTTGTCGTTCTTCCGATAAAATGCGTCACTTGATGCTTGAAGGCTATGCGGCTCGTTGTTCGGGGTAGTGGTCGACTGCATGGTGAAGGAGCTCGTGAAGTCGTCCGCGATGCCGATCGTCGTTGCTGGCGGCCCATGTTCCCTTGGCATCTCAGCAATCGCCTCGTGGCCCGTCGCCTCTGAGATCGTCGGCATGAGGAAACTGTTGGTGGAAGACCAGCTTGGCGCGCGTGACGGACCCGTCATTTGCCGATCACTTTCCTCAAACATCATCTCGCGAATTGCTACGAAGGATCTCGCCTTCGTCTTGATGGCACGTCAGTGTGTTGGGACGCTGCTTCTGAGTTGCGAGCATTTCCCACGCGTGAAGGCGAGGACTTCATTTACAGTATCGCCATGATGTTGAGCGTAGATATACATTTTTTTCGAGACGGGCCCCATTGTCTCACACGATGTATCACTCGTCTCAGAAGAGAACATCATCGCTGATGTGATGAACCCACTTGGTTGAAATGTGTTGACGGCCGCTTTGATAACGATACGGAGACTTTGCCCTGGCGTGTTTCACCACGATGTCATATGCGAATCGTGTCTCGCCAAATTGATTGTTGTGTGAACGGGCTGCTGGACAAGGACTGACGATGACGGACCGTTCACTGCCTGCCCTAGCATTTACCAATTTGGTCACAGCACCCGACATGCAATCACATCCATGATGATGCACTTGCAAATGCCCTATCCTCATGTGCCCACAGACGCTTTGCCACCACAGACGCCTGCAACCCACAATTTTACTGAATAACCTTGGGATTCGTCTTCAAGCTATGGATACGCCGTGATATTTGGCAAGCTCCGCCTATCCGTCCCGTACTTTATGCATGATGTGTTTTCAGCTCGGGAACGAGTCGAATCGAAGATACAAGCGCATGACATGGTCACGGAAGTCGGGAGATGCGAAGTTACGTGCCGTTGATGCTGATCAATAGTCGAGCCTTGTGCCGCGAATGTATCTCATCGTCACTAAGGGAACTCTTGGTCCGCTCCCAGGACACCCTCTCGCGAACCTTCCAGCGTACACGCGCCCACACACATGCGCGCGCGCACTTGGTGCTCCGGAGGCGTACGCGTCCGGTATCCTCACTGGGCGCCCTACAACTAAGTGCCGGTCCCGGGGGAGCCTCATCACGCCTCCAGAACGCCCACCTTCGCGATTGCGCGATCGAACGCCATAACCAATGAAAATCTGCTTTGGGGTTACAATCCTGTAGGATGTCGCGTGCATTTGTTCGAGATCAATGAGCTTCTGCGAAGGATGTTCTTGACACTGCGGCGAGATCACAAACTTGCCCGCATCCGCTGTAGTGATATATACAGTGGCCTCAAGTATGACGACACAGAACAAGACGTGCAATGCGCAAAATAATAATCCTTGCATCGGTGCGCTCACGTCCGTGCCTCTCGACCAGGGGCACAATCAGGATTTGACCCTTCTCAAATGGTAGCGAATATGTCCAAGATTATTCATCGCAGAGCTTTCCTTCTGGAAACTGTTCTCGCAACATCTAGCGGGGAATGTCTCCGTCGCATGCGTGTGGGCATTGATGTCGGTCACCCATCATTCTCGGACTTGCCTTGGCAGTATCTGGAAATACACCTGCACCTACCTAGGTACCAATGTACACTAAAATTCACCCAGAAGAAGCATAGGTGGAGCCTCATATGGCTGGCTGAGTACACTTTGTTGGGTACGTCGCGGTTTACTCTTCGATTCGTGTGAACGATCACTCATCCTGCTTCAAAAAAAACATGTCCATCACGTGCCGAGCGATGTTGCAGCGCAAGAGTACAATGCATACCTAGGTACTTAAGTACCCAAGTATACATGTAATCCTACCGTCGCACGCGCTGGCTGGTGCCTCGATGGCCTTTCGATATCCTCTTGGCGATTCCTCTGCCATTTCTGTTGGCATGGAGCAGCTGGTGACGACGCAAATTGATGCTGTCATACCCAAGTGCCCAACAACGACGTTTGCTTGGCTCTTGACTGTGGATCTATAATGTGACGATGCCTCTCCCGAGAGGCTCCTTATGCAAATTATCTTCTCTGCCCCACCAAAAGGCGTCAATCCTTTCCGCCTCTCGAGCAAGCCACGAATCAAAGACCACATCATAGGCGCACACTACATGGTCAGGTGATTGTATAGCTCGAGGACAGAGACGGACACATGTTCACGCGGAGAAGAAACACGTGTTGCATAATCGCTCAAAATCTTCAAACCAACCTGGGCAGCACTATTCTTTTCGCATTGGAAAGTCTCGTGAGCACAGACAGAACATCGATCGAAAAGTCATAACGTCATTCGAGCTTGGTGTTCGTGGATGTTCGTCAGCGCGCATGCAGGTGCGATGCCTGCCCAGGTGTCTACGGGCCAAAAAAAGATGACTACGAGCTGGGCAGCTTCCCGACTCCGGGGGGGCTACCTTGATAGCGTGCCGTCAGGCTAGCCCAACTTCAGCTTGCGACGCGCATCATCGTGGGCTCGTTCAGAGTATACGCACATGCGAAAGTCTATCGAGATAATGCACATTTCTCGATTTCAACAACGGCGGCGGTGAAAAGGTCCGCTCTGCCGTTTCTCGTCTGAACACCCCTGCGAGTGCATTGGAGTCATTAAGGCCCGACGTGCCTGGGATAGTACTCTCGGTCGAAACTTCCAGACCTGGCCCATCTCTGCGCTCGCGGAAGTGTCTCTAGCTTCCATCTCATGAGTATGATGCCAGGCTTTGCATGGGCAATACGGGATCGTCGCAGACGTGCCGCAGTAGTCAAGTCATGAAACATCGGGTCGTACAAGTGGATATCTCAAAGTGACGTTTGCCCTTGCGATTTGCGGCGACTCTCAATGCTACCGGCTGATTAGTGCTGTTCATGCGGAGTTAAAGACATCCGGTTTCGGGTCTGCTGCATTCAACGGATGGGTGATACCTCTTTGATGTGTATCGTGTCATTCAACAGATTCGTTCGTCATAGAGACGGCTTCGAAGATCGCAGAGCCGGGCTTCCGTGAAGCTACTGAGGTGATTAAGATCAGCTTGCGGTTTTGAGGTCACAATGTGCTGCCATCTGTAAGGATGTAACGCGTCATCTTACTCGATGCTCGTCGATTCACAATATGCTGCGAGAATCGAAGATTGTGACGACGATGTTTGATGATGAAACTGTATACACTGATAGCGATCCACTACATGTTCGGACATCACTGATCGCATGTGACCTTTCGATATCAGCTCAACCCAGAAACACGGGCGTCTAGAGCAGTCCCCGTTATGACGGCTACCCGAAGCTGAAGATTCGACAACGCATAAAGCCAGCTGGGTCATGCTTGCTCGAGGGCGGCGACCCTTCCGAGCTCGACATCTCGCTATGCACTCGGCTTGCGTTCCGGTCATAGCTGACAGGGTCGCACGCACAATAGATCCTGTTTGTGGGTTCGTGGACGCAGTATACGATGTCTTGACTCGAGGTCAAAGCTGCGAGTGATTCAAGGATTTCGGGCGGGATGCCGTGGTCGGGCGGCGTGACAAATGCTTCGTGGAAAAGACAACGGATGATGTTCAGTCCGGTGGGCTACCCTGTTCAGGTGAGCCGTAGGCTGTATGTAGTTGACAAGAATCTCGCCACGAATGACCTCGATCTGAGTGGCAAGAGAAGCAGAAGTGTTCGAGGATTCGCAGAGTGCTTAGAGGGGCAACGACTGTTTCCGTCGTCCAATTCCTCCGTGGCAACTTCCCAGCGCAAATTCTCAAACACTGATTTTGAGCACATTATATCCGCGATGCAACTGTGTCGAGCGAAGACATAATCATTACTACGAGCTGTAAGCGTCAGCGCGAGCTTGATAAAAACTTGCGTGTTGATATCTGTCCCGGCAGTCGTCGTTGTGAAGGATATCTAACATTGCCGTGAAGCAAGGTCATGGGAGCGCTGATTCCAAGATCACGCCACGCTTTTCGCAAATGGTTCCCGCAGATTTATCGCTCGGCTTGTCGAGCAGTGCAATGCCGCTTGGTCAATGTCAGCGCCATAGCGACTCCGCTCACTCAGATAGCATAGATTAGCCAAGTGTCCAGATCCTCTGCTCCAGATGGACAGTGTGATGTGGCAATGGTAGAGCTAGTAAGCGCTTGTTTCCAGAGAGATTGTCAACTTGGCCAGACGCTGTGAAATCGCCTGGCCTGGTTTTGATCGTAGACCCTTGCTTGACACCGACGTACCCTGTCTCGTCAAAGAGCAGTTGTTTCGCAGAGCGATGTCACGGCATCCGCTTGCGAACCTAGCGGCGCAATCTTGCTGGCGACAACCGGGAAGCATTTGCTCATTTCAACTGTCCCGCGCGTACGTGATCTTGCTCCGCTTCACACCTTTGCTATCATCTTCTTCCTCCTTCTCCGTCGCACGTTTCTTCTTATTTGCGCCCGTTTTGGTTCCGCCAGCAGTCGGTGTTGAAGCGCTGTTCTCGCGAGCTGAAAGTGGTGGAGCGTGAGATGCAGTCGGTGTTGCTGCATGTGAAGTCGTAGCAGAATCCTGCCCTTCCTGAATCTATTTTCAATTTCGTCAATCCCTCGTGCCAAGAGAACTCACGAATCTCGTTCGTATCCCTACCCTCATCCAATTGACTGAGCTCCTGCTGAAAACGCGATCTTCCTCTCGGATTCGACCGCGACGACGATCGTCCGCCGCGCTTCTTCCGCCGACGACGACACCCTTGACCCAACCATCAAATCCGCGCACGATATTGCCCGACATTGCCGTCTCTTCAAGATAGTTGCCCTCCATTCGGAACATTTGGTCCTCTAATGTAGCAAGTTGCTCATCGAGCTTTCGCTTCTTTTCCAGATTTTGTCGTAGCGTCTCTCGCAGAGATTCGTAGTATGGGCGGCCGGGCTGGTCTGCAGTTGAACCGGCCGTCTGGGCCGCACCAGGCGGAATATTTTCAGCCATGATAAGAAGATTCGTGAATGAAGAGAAAGTCGATGAATCTCAAAGGTTCCACATCGAGCTCGCACGATCCGTGGTGCTTCGCTACATAGGTAGGTCGATGAGTGATTCAAGCCGCGTCGCGTCAGATGATGGCACGTGCACGTTTCAAAAATAGCTATGACATATCATTAACCACATGGGCTGCGAATGTCTAAAGCATCCAAACTGCACCTCTATCATCATCAAGAAAGTCCTGTCATCAAGACTACCAGACTACTCGATCTTGCTCATTCGCCTGGCTACTGTCAAGAATCTGCAATCATGGACAGAATCATGAACTTCTTCCGCAGATCCTCGTCATCTTCGACATCAGCTCCCGCAGCTAGCTCCATTACATCCGATTCTTTCGTGCAAAATCCCAAGAGTGTCACCCTCAACACCACTCTCGGAGCCATCAAGATTGCGCTATTCTCTAGCCAGACTCCAAGGGTCAGTATAGCATGCAGGCTCCAGCTTGCTGCGCTGTTCATGCAGGTACAAATGAAGCAAAGACTGACCCATCTGTTTCCTACCTATAGACTTGCCAGAACTTTGCTACATTGGCCAAGCTTGGTAAATACGACAACGTCATCTTCCACCGCATTATCGCGGGCTTTATGATCCAGGGCGGTGACCCGACTGGTACCGGCCGCGGCGGCTCCTCCATCTATGGAGCCAAGTTCGAAGATGAGATCGTGCCATCGCTCAAGCACGACTCCAAGGGCGTGCTCAGTATGGCCAACAGCGGGCCCGGTACCAATGGTTCCCAATTCTTCATCACACTCGCTCCAACACCTCATCTTAATGGCAAACACAGCGTGTTCGGCAAGGTAAATTGCTACGCAGTGGTATAGTCGATGCGTTCTGCAAACCTGTGGCTAATACATCTCGGCAGGTCGTCGAAGGAATGGATGTGGTTGACAAACTCGGCGCAGTACGCACCAACGCTGGGGACCGCCCTGTCAGCGAGGTCAAGATTGTGAGCTGCGACGTGGAGTGATCTACCAGTTCTGGTGAATTGACGCTCTGCCGTGTTGACATGCGTATACGAGTGAATCAGCAGTGTATACTACTGTATCAAAGTCCTATACTAGCGCCACCTTCTATAGTCACCATAACGTGATATCGCTATTGTCTGCGCCGTCAATCGCAAACTCAAAGCAACTGCAAAATACCCTCTATGTGACCCCATCGAGAAGTTCTTCGAGTCTTGCCAACATGTGCACGAGCGGATGCACGCGCGAGGGGAACATCCCGCGTCAGCCTTATACTCTAACCATACTCCACAGCTGGAGGTGGTGCACACATCGTCCATGCTACGCTCGACCAATTCCACATCATGGAGAGTGTGGTATCCGCCCAACATATCTTACTCTTTCGAAGACTTAGCAGACATGTGTGTGTGCTAAGGCCGCGGTTGATCCCCACGATCAAATCCCATGGGTTTATCAGGTCGTGCATGAAATAAATCTGTCGGCGTGCTGGGTCACGTCACATTCGTGGGCGCGTGGACGCGCTTGAAATTTCGAGATGTCAAGGCTCAAGACATTATCGATTAGGACCTGGTCATCTGCTTTGCTCGAGAAGTTCCCGGCATGGCGAGGATTTCGGTTTTTGGAGCGATTGGTAGTCAAGCCGTTTAATTCCCGAGAGTTATAGGCGCAGTCAAAGCCGCTTTGTGATTGTTTTCGCAATTCGGTAGCCCTGGAGGCAGGATTCGTTGTGGATGAGTTCGCTTACAGACCGAGGTTCGACGATCAATATGCAGAATATTCAGAGCGGCGATGACTGTCGTTGCTGATTCATTTTCAGGCCGACCATTGGTGCGATTGGTAGACCTCCGTGATCAGTGACATCTGTAAGTGTCTGGGCGGCCATGAACGCTGGAGCAATCGCAGACATAAATTTACCAATGCAAAATCAAGTAGTTGATCGAAACGAGGAACGTGGCCATGGTATGATTATTCGCATCATCGTGGGCTTTGACCATGGCACTGAACAAACGGCTCATGTGATATCTTTTCTCGTTCTTCAACTCGGGCTCGTATGACCATGAGTGCCAGCGCTCAATTCGAGCGCTGATTCATCGACCGGCTCCATCATGAGTGGCGATTAGGTCCGAGTTAGAATTTCAACTGAGCGTCTCCGAAGTTGTCAAGATCCTAGGCAATGTCAATTCGTAACTCCGGACGTGAGAAAATCCTGGGCTGCTGATGATCGCATGAAATTGCAGACAGCACTCTGCATGTACAGGGTACAAGATACAAATTACATGTATCGCAAGAGGATTATTTAAATGGATCAGCAAGCAGAGAAACCGAGGAAAGCCGAGTCGTGTCGGCAACACCTCAGATCGTTCTCGGTCTTGTGAATGGCCGAGTGGGATATTTCCTGAGTTGTTATCACATTCCAAGGTGGAGATCTCGGCTCATCCAGCAAAGCAAATACGACCTCCCTTCACGACCAGGATTCAATATGCCTCGGTCAAGGTCGATCATCCTCCGAGCTAGTCCTCATGTTGTCGGCAACCATTCCGCCTCCAACACCAGATGCGATCCCGCCACACCAGCATCGTCGTCGTATATTTCGCAATACTGGAATTGCATGCGTGTCAACGACCAAGAGATTCAGGAACGATCGGTGGCAAAACAAAGCGGCTGCCTCCCGAGATCTGATCTGCGTTTGGCCACGTTCGCCACTCGTTCATCTCCTCGGGCACAATTTCTATGCCACGGCTGAGAAAATGGCACCAGTCATGCGCCATCTTGTGGTCTCGCCCACGCAGGACGTGTCATAGATCACCCGTTACAGGCAACCATGTTAGATCGAGGTCGACAGATGGCGAGTGCGAGTGCGAGTGCGATGTTCTCTGCTACCCGCAGAACTCTCGGTCTTTCCGTGGTACTCCAATGATCATTGTGCTGTCTCAAGGCCTTTTGTCGATCTCAATTCCAGGTAGGGCAGGCGCGGTCAGTCGGAGGCTGAAAAAGCCGGTGTTTCGATTCCCCAGTTTTTGGGCACAGGGCAAAAGGTCAGGCGCCAGGGTCGTCCACCAGTTCTACGACTGCACTACTCATGCCACTGTGCGAATTTTCACATGCGAATATTGGAGCTTTGTCAGTGCGACGACTCGTCCTCTCTGTCACGGAATAAAGAGCACACCTACCCACGTTACTAGAGTACATTCACCGTGACAATACACGCCCATCTGGAGTTGACGACGATCATTCCTGCAGCGATCCCGTGAGGCCACATGGCCCAGTCGACATGACACTCCATTACAGTACGTATCGAAAGGCGCACGAATCTGGTCGGTGACTCTCGTGGCGGTCTACGCATTCGCATGTGCAGAGAGACACAAGGAGCACAGCGACGCCCACTGTGGATGCCGGCATGTCAACCACACCAACACACTGTCTTTATTTGTTTGCGTCTGTTTGTGTGTGGATTACCCCAGACAACACGAGATGAGACCAGTTGGACACCAACAGCACGCCGAGCCAAAGTCTATATGCCGACTGACGAGTCCCGCGAAGGGCGAGGTAAGCTGCTTTCATCGTTCACTCGTCCCTCCGCCTTTCCTGGAGAGCCTCCTGTAGACTATGGGGGATAGCCTATTCCGGGGACTGGAGCTGGTCCCACCGCCTTCGCCTTCGCCGCCTCTCAGTGCGAGCGCATTACCACCGCTCTGACTGTTCTGTTACTCCCTGATCACGTTTCCTCTTCTTCACATGCTTTTTCAGGGTGTGCGCCGCTCCAGACTTGTCTCTGACCCGGACCGTCCATGATTCCAAGCTCTGACAGCATCGCGTTCTTCTCAGTTACCTCCGCGATGATACTGTGATCCTCCTGCGAACAACATTCGAGTCTAGCCTGGTACAAATGCCACCCTCGAACATGCCTCCTCAAATTGTGGTGTGGTAATGATAACGGAGTCGTCACGCTGGGCAACTGAAAACGGTGCAGCAGGACAAGACCTCGGGCTAGCCAACGTCGGCTCTTGTGTGGGATTGCGAGTGTCGCGGGGAAAAAAGAAACAGGGGCGGGCGGGAAATACCTAGTAGGGACGAACGAAGAGGGCAGTGGAGGAGGGCAGGAAAAGAGTTCGCCGAGGTAAAACTTTGACCCGCAATGTCCATTCCCAGACTTCTCCAGCTTCTGGCCCAGAGAGCAGCCGCAGTAGTTCTTTGCACCATTTCCCTCAGGGCCACACACGCTACACTATACTTCACTGCAGGTGTTTACCAAGATCGGTTTTACCGCCGCTCCCATTCGCTGCTCCACACTTTGTCTGGTAATCCACTCCACTCCACTCTATCTGCTGCTCTGTGGAGTTGGCGTTGCCTGGTCGTGCCGTGATGTTTCAAAAGCATCAGTGGTCTTGTAGTCCTGTAGCTATGGATCGTGTGGAGATGCTGCCAGAGACTGCATCGCGACCGCGCATCTTTCCGGCCTCGTGGTCAAGATGTATGCACACCGCAGTCAACGTGAAAAGTGATTCATACGTACGAGAGAATGCTGATGTTTGATTGCCATTTCTCCACATGCTCGTCCGTGACCACCACCGCCGCCGCCGTCGCCGCTAAACTCACTCCACCACTGGACTCCCACCACCACCACCACCATCAAATCATCCTGCTACCCTGCAGCCGCCGCCGTAACATCTCTGTTCCTCTCCAACGACTGTCTCTCTAGTCCTCCGCCTCGCTGCTACCGCTGCCGCATACGCTTCGGGAATAAGACTCGGTCACGAGTTCTCTTTAAATTCTTCCTCCCTCTGCCATTACATTTACCGAGCTTCTTTCCCTTCCCTCTTCTCTTTCTCTCTCTCATCCACCCTTGTTGTGCTGTTCATCCACATAATACATCATGTCTGAGAGAGTTATCGTCGTCGGCGCTGGTCGTAAGTACCCTTCACGACGCTGCTACCGCCTCCAATGTGAGCGCTGTGCTGACAGTCACCTGCTCAGTTTCCGGCCTCAGCGCTGCCCACACCATCTACCTCGCTGGTGGCAATGTCACCCTCCTCGACAAGAACAGTAGGTTTCTCTGACTCGCCAGCGCAAAGCATCCGCCTTGTGTTGGTCGCCGTTCATTGCGCGAACAGTACGTTGACCCTCGCCAACAGACTTCATGGGTGGCAACTCCACCAAGGCCACTTCCGGTATCAACGGTGCCTTGACCCGCACCCAGGTCGACCACGCCATTGGCGACAGTGTCAAGCAGTTCTACGAGGACACCCTCAAGTCTGCCCGTGACAAGGCCCGACCAGACCTGATCAAGGTCCTCACATACAAGTCCGCCGCTGCCGTCGAGTGGCTGCAGGATGTGTTCAACCTCGACCTGACCCTCGTCTCGCGGTTAGGGTGAGTTTCTTCCGCTCAAAGGCTTTCTCGAACTTTCTTGAACGTCTATGCTGACATCTCGATGCGCGCAGCGGTCACTCTTTCCCCCGTACTCACCGTGGTCACGATGCCAAGTTCCCTGGTATGGCCATCACCTACGCGCTCATGCAGCGATGGGAAGAGCTTGCCGAGAAGGAGCCGGAGCGAGTCCAGCTCGTCAAGAAGGCCAAGGTTACCAAGGTTAACATGGACGGCAACACCGCTACTGGTGTCACCTACGACTTCGGTGGCGAGTCCCACACTATCAACGGCCCCGTCGTTCTCGCCACCGGTGGTTACGCTGCCGACTTCACCGAGACCTCCCTCTTGAAGAAGCACCGACCTGACACCTTCGACCTATCCACCACCAACGGCAGCCACGCCACTGGTGACGGCCACAAGATGCTCATGGAGATTGGTGCCAACGGCATCGACATGGACAAGGTTCAGGTTCACCCCACGGGTCTCGTGGACCCCAAGGACCCCACTGCTAAGACCAAGTTCTTGGCCGCTGAGGCTCTCCGTGGTGAGGGTGGTCTTTTGATCAACTCCAAGGGTGAGCGTTTCGTCGACGAGCTCCAGCACCGTGACTTCGTTTCCGGCAAGATCTGGGAGCAGCGCGAGAAGGGCAACTGGCCCGTCCACCTCATCCTCAACAGCAAGGCCTCCAACACCCTCGACTTCCACACTCGCCACTACTCCGGTCGTGGTCTGATGAAGAAGATGAGCGGTGCCGAGTTCGCCAAGCTCATCGGTGCCGACGCGAAGACCCTCGACAAGACCTTCAAGGAGTACAACACATACGCCAAGGGCGAGGCCAAGGACCCTTGGCAAAAGAAGTACTTCCACAACTTCCCTGTGGAGATCAGTGACGACTTCCACGTCTCCCAGATGGAGCCCGTCCTGCACTTCACCATGGGAGGTATTGAGATCAACGACCAGGCTCAGTGCTTGAACTCCGAGCAGAAGCCGTTCGACGGTCTCTTCGTCTGCGGTGAGTTGGCCGGTGGTGTCCACGGTTCCAACCGTCTCGGTGGTTCGTCCCTGCTCGGCTGTGTCGTCTACGGCCGTGTCGCCGGTGACAGCGCCAGCAAGTACCTCTTCCAGAAGGTCCTTAACGGCGGCAGCAGCACCGCTGCCCAGCGTGCCGGCCAAATCTCCCTCCACATCGACCCCAGCACCCCTGGTCGCATCAACGTCGAGTGGAGCAACGGCTCTGGCGTCTCATCGTCTGCCGCTCCCTCATCGCAGGCCCAGACGTCTGCCGGCCCGGTTATCCCCGCTGGCGGCAAGTCTGGCGACCCAGGCAAGGTCTCTCAACCCAACGACGTCAAGAAGTTTTCCGTCCCCGAGAAGGAGTACTCTCTCGAGGAGGTTGCCAGCCACAACAAGAAGGACGACCTCTGGGTCGCCGTCAAGGGTGTCGTCATGGACCTCACCGAGTGGGTTGACGAGCACCCCGGTGGACCTCAGGCCCTCTACTCGCACATGGGCCGTGACGCCACCGAGGAGTTCGAGATGCTCCACGACGACGAGGTCATTCCCAAGTACGCCGCTGGCATCGTCATCGGCCGTGTCAAGGGCCAGAAGGTCACTCTCGAGTACTAGACGTCTCTCACCTCGCCAAATGCGTGCGTGTGAGTGTCCAGTGCGATGAGAACTTGCAATTATGATCGGCGAATGCAGCACAGCGTCGACGTCCTTCGAGACCCGATGCTTGTGCGTATCACGAAATCATGACAAACCACCTTCATCACGAGCGTGTCTGTGCGCCAGTCGGAAAAGGCTGTGAGTGCATCGGTGGCTCGGTGAGGGTAAAGGATGAAGAGACGTTCGCATCGAAAGGAAGAAACCAATGAGTTCTTCACTTTGCTTGTCTTAGATCCTTTTTGGTGTGTCGGCGCGCGATATCCCGATGGCGCTATATGACGAAAATTTTATGTGCCTCCGCTGTTTGTGTATGTAAAAAGGCTCTTAGATGAGAGTAGGAACGTGTATCATGTTTTTGATCAACCATTTCGCTCAATATGTTTCAAATTCCTATCCTGTCATCTTGACGATCACCATCTATTTCGTATCCGCTGTAGTGCCACTTCTTTACGCGGCATCATGTTGTTGATTCCTTTGGTACTACGTGTTGGTGTGTCTGGAGGTCATTGAAGGTTCCGAAGTTCTTCTCTTCATCACTACATATATAATTCGCGCGAGTTTGAGATCCCTGACCCCTTGCCTAGCTCAGCGTCCAGATACTCTTCACAGGACTGCTTGATCGACAAGTCCGCCCTCTGCCGCTCATACTGTATTATACTTTGCTTTTAAAACTATCTCGATCTCAAATCATCATGTCTAAAGCAAGGATCTCCGGCCAAAATGACCATTAGCATCCCCTGCACTCTAAAACAGATGGAGCTCAGCCTTGCAATATGAGTCACAGGTGAGGAGTGCAAGGTTGATTTGGACGGGAGTTCATACGTGCAGAATTGCGCGAGATTTCCGAACACACCAGGTTACTGAGTCCATATCGAAGCCCATATACGAAGTGAAGCGTTCGAACTCGAGATCTCGGATCGCAATCGGGCAAGATCCTCGGCTCATGGAGACAAGCTAATGTGGTCAGATTGCGTGTCCCGGCCCACTCATGCCTCGCCGATTTTCTGGAGATATCTCATCCGTGGCCCACACGATCCCGATCCTGGAAACACATATGATGGGAGTGCAGGCCTGTCGTGGCTTGATTACTACTGGCCCTCGTGTGACACGTGACAGATGTTGATGAACCCGCCCGAAAAGTTTGGTGCAGACCCTGCAGCTGGGCTGAGAACTTCGTACGTCGCGCGAAATAGTAGGGTTGGGGTTATATACGTGCTGTCCAGGACAGATATGGACGAGCGTCGAATGTTTTGGGCAAAACACGACAGAGTTCGTGTTGTGTCGAACGGCTCTGCTGGCGATCACTTTGCTCTTCCCCAATGCACGAATTGATGCGACACGCGCGCCATGTTGTTGGTCACGTCAATTTTGGGTCGGTCGAGGTACCCCGAACTTGCAGTCATGTTGACTAGACAAATGGGTAGTGAGGCGACCAAGAAGCTTGCGCCTGGGAAACAGAAGCCGCATGCACCCGACTCCCTAGTCTTACGTAGAAACATGACTGGACATTTCATGTATACAGGTGCCGAGAAAGGACCAAGGTAAAACGGAGCAAACGTCCTGTGCGATACGGGCTAGAGTTGGAGGGTTTCCGCTAAAGATAGATTTTCATGAAAGTTATAAATGTCTCTCGACTGGACACATGACTCCATGGAGAACCCGAAACTATCCATTACCGTTGAACGATGAAGAAGCCTTTCTCAAACCAAAAATACAACATGTGAACACTCATGCCAATGCCCAAAATTGAAATGGAATTCCGATTGACACGAAAAAGACCGGCTGCAGGTCTGGCCGGTAGAGAAACGTCGTTGAAAGATTGAAAAGTGCTCAGGTGGGTTGCAGGAAAGCAAGCGTCTGCAGAGCACGGCACATGAGGGATTTCTTCCACGCTTTAGCCTTTTCCTCAAATTCCTTCGAGAATTTACAGGAGAACGGCAAAGGCACCGAAGACGAAACCTACAATAGCCAAGGAGCCGAAGGTTTGACCAGTGCCAAGAGCCAGAACACGCAGAGAAGCGCCCGCGTTGCGATTCGTGCCAGTCTGCGCAGCAGCCGTGGCGCCGAGAATACCGTCGTAGACAGTCTGGCCAGCAGCGTCGGTCGTCGCGGCGGCAACATTGGCCACACCCGTGCTCTTGGAGGCGCCGGTGGCGCTGGAAGAAGGAGACAGAGTCGATGTGTTTTGGCGAGTGGGGTTCTGGGCACCGCATGGGTGGTTCTGGCGACAGTCGGACTGGCAGGCCGAGTTACCAGATCCGCAGTTGCTGACACACTGGTTGCCCCATTCCTGGCAGATGTAGAAGGGAATGGTCTGGCTGTACTCGCTGATGTTGGGACTGACACCGTTGCTGCAGACACAGCTGTAGGTGAGACTTGGCCAGTCACAAGTGTTGGATCGGGTGGTCGCACTGTTGCCGGGAGTCTGCAGGCAGATGAGAGGACATTGAGTGATCTGGCTGGTGCACCAGGCTCCTGTGAGGGGTATTAGTGAGGATTTATTCTTCACAGGATGACATGTCCTCGCGATTTGTCCTCGTTTCTTCCATCGTTTGCAGTCAAATATCATGCGGCAGGAACTGGGCAAAGGAGCTCAAACGTACGTCGAGTGTCGTTGTTGACAGAGTTCGGGTTAATGGCGTACTGGGCGGCAGCCGTGGCGATGCAGACCGCGATAGCAGCGAGCTGAGTGAAGGACTTCATGGTGAAGAGGCCGAAGAGAAGAGAAGATGGTGATTATCTGCGGTGCTGGCGGCAGAGAGGTTCAAATTGGAGCAGCTGAGAACGACAAGCAGTGGAACAAGAGGCAATGCTTTCTGAAAGGTGCCGAGTTAGTAACTTGATACAAGAACGTCGTGCGATGTTGAAGAACAGTGGCGAGTGTCTGGCAGATGCGGGTGTACGAGTGCGGTGTTTGTGCTCGTGTCGGGGCAAGTGTATCCTCCCTCCACGGGACGAGAAGCCGTGTCAGGCGCGAGATGCTTACCCACGAATACGAGAACGGAACGCTAGAGTGATACGGGCCTTGGGTGACGAGTCGATCGGGAAGTCGTCGCGAGCGGAACAATAATTATTAGGATTAATTCTCTGCCTGTGTATGAACGAGAGTGGCTGCAGGGCGTGGTTGAGGCGAGCGGGCGGATGCAGAGAGCGATGTTGGGTCCGGGTCGGAAGGGACGGCGAGAGTACCAAGAAAGGTGCCGGCACGACGCGCACACACACGTCGAGTGAAGGAGTGTATAAAGAATGAAAGAAAGGAAGTCACACGGTGCGACGAGAAGAAAATGCGACGGCGACGACGACGACGACGATGACAACGACGACGAACAATGCAACTGATGATGTTGGAAGAGCAGAGGAGGAGGAGAACGACGATTAGCCAAGGGAAAGAGAGGCGAGATTATGATTGGAGCCAATCCAGCTCGGTAGTTCAACGGGTGGCACACGCACAGCACATGGTACAGGACTCGGGCTGTCCACGGGTGGTGAAGTGAGTGTAAGGGCAAGTGCACACGAAACACGACTCAACACGCACGCATTCGCCCACTTCTATCACCCATTTCCCACCTGCTGCCTACCTGGATAACCAGTACTGAAGGAGGTTCATATAGCATATTTCATACACGCACACGCACACGGTGAGCACAGTGAGTACAGCGAGCGAGGCAGCTGGAAGGTGCCACCAGTGTGTATAATGGATGGAACTGTACCAAGGTAGTACCAAATATAAATGGCAGTGAGTCGGACAAATGCGGCGGGATGGAAATTAAAATTGTCCCCGAGAACCTTCAAAGTCTCCTCCTTTCCAATCTTCCAGTCTCCCACGCTTGCTCTACGAGCGATGGAGTAATAGTAATAATATTCCAAGGTTATTATGAATTGCTCCAAGATTCTAAGGTTGGTTCTTGGAGAATCGGAGGACACGCTCCTTTCCAACTTCCGACTAGCCCCGTTTTCCTCCAACCGTGAAGTCTGCGCGTCAACACGTGACTTCAGCCCATATTTAGAGTCAAGAGGGCAGAATAATCTCTGGCCTGTAAAGTCCTCCATGGCTTACGTCCTCCATAAGGTACTGTGGCATCAGCTCGACCCATCGTATCAGGGTATCATCCATGCGTATTGGACTCGCCTCATGGCATCTGTAGAGTGGATTGCATATGTATGTGGGAATTTGATGAGCCTCGGACAATCTAGGAATCTCATCCATGGGGGACCACGATGTTAGTCGGATTCAGTACCAGATGATGAGGGGAGACGAATCTGGAAAGACTACGAGGCTCAGACATGCACACAGTACAATCGTTGTACGGTCGGTCGTTGTGGGAGTCGTGAGGATGTGTCCTCGTCCGTGAACCACTCGAGGGTCCAACCGGTCATGGTTAACGGGTCTCAAAAACACCTGCGGATTCTACATGCAGGCAGACGGTATTCGATAACAACAATGCACTGTTACCCCGGCACGTGATTATTGCACGGGAAGCGGGCTGAACGGCGCGACCCTGTGTGATCTGCATCCGGACAGTTTCCAGTTCCGCCTCATTCCAAGATTTTAGCGGGATTGTTATGCAAGTTACTACACGTCACCTGCCCTTTCGGCAATGTTCGATATATCAATTTAATAATGACAAGACCAAACGGCCTGACGAACCCTCACGCTTCTTGTAGACAACTTCATACATGGCCAATTGCTGCCGCCCATTGGACATCGTTATTTCTCCATTTCACGATAGGCTCATATACATCGAAACGCACATTGTATGTTCATCGTAGAGTTCATGTCCAGCGGCCCCCTACTTCCCCATACACCACACACACAACGAAACATGACATGATGCCACCCTCGATGCGCTTAGTACTGACGATGAAACCGCCGCTTTGCCACTGCCAGTGAGAGAGATACTTCAGCAGCATAGTGATTGCACGGAAGCCAACCACTTCACCAATAAAGGCACGCCACCCTGACCCGGGGAGGATCACTCGGTTCGTGTTCGGCATTACCCTACAGAGCAACACAACGATACTTCGCGCCGTGCCGAACCATTCCAGCTTCTCTAGACCCACCGCGCGTGAGTGGTCTGTTCCTCTGAGATCCGTCATCGAGTGCAGTCCCAGGCGGATCCAGTCGCTCACGTTGCATTGGCAACCGTCAAGCAAGCGGCCGCCCACGATCTCATTTGTTTGCGCACTCCGTCCCTGGTCGTACCTTCGTTGGTGAAATTCGGGATCGCTTGACAACAGACGCCGATGGAGCACGACCGATCTGGCATGTCTGACAGAAATGGTAGCACGCCTACCGCTGCCAACGACCACCCAGACCAAGATCTAGAGACGCAGGATGGGATCCACTTACAACGATCCAATCAGCCTCAGCCAGATCTGACATTGACCTACCCAGAGTCCACCATACCCACCACGACTGTCCAGATACAGAAGAACTCAGCGCCATCGGAAGCGCCTCCCACAACAGCCGCCGCTCGACCGCTCGCCTCCATCGAGCCCCCACCCTGGTGGATCCGTCGCACCCGCAGCTCCTCCAGTGCAACCAGCGCCACATCCCTGCACCTCGCCAAGCCCTCACAACCACAGCGACCCGCCGCCAGGCGCCACGGCAGTAGCGGCGGTAGCGGAGAGCAGCACAACAGCCACAAACGCAGCATCATCAACCTCGAAGATCACTCGGAGGATCACGATCTCAGCGCATCGCGCGGCCATTCGTGTTGGGCGAGTGGAGTCCGCGTGCTCGCGCCCGTCATCGTCTCCGCGGGCGGAGGCGTGGCGGTCGGAAGTACCGTGGATGGTGCCGTCGCTGCGGGAGGCGCCGGTGCGTACGTCGTGTGGCGGTGCGCGGTGGGGTTGCTTGGCAGTGGAGCCGGCGGGGCGGAGGTGGAGATGGCGAAAAGGTATGTTCGATCTCGGATCGCGGTTCTTTTCAAGGCATTCGTCTTTTATGTTTCCGGGCTCGTGTTTGATCATGTCACCGTCACAAACCGACCATCACGAGGTGTTGCCTATGAGTCTTGATCTACTACGGATCCATCCTCATGAACACCGCTGAAAAGAAAATGGACAAACAGATATTCCGAGTTCGACGCCCTGCATATCGCCCTCGTGCGCGCCTTCCCCCACGCCGTCGCCATGATCCCGGCTCTCCCGCGGAAGAGTCTTGTCTCGCGTTTCCGGCCACATTTTCTGGAGTCTCGGCGGGCCGGGCTGCAACACTTTCTGAGGTTTGTCTTCTCCATGTCGCTTCATATTACCTGATACGTTCGTCTATGTGCTACGACCGATGTAAAGATATGACGCTAATATCTATATCCCTCTTAGCTGTGTTCTTCTGAATCCCGAATTTGCGGCTTCGCCAATCTTGAAGGATTTCGTCTTCTCGTGACACAGCACGATGCATAGGTCTGGAACAGAGTTGCATGGGGACACACCACGACCACAGATGGATGGTGATCAATGACGGGATCACAGTGGATGAATGTGAACGAAATTATACTTAATACCTCACCACCCTTCTTGTACATATCATGTCGGTCTTGGAAGAATTCAAGATGAGAAATTTCAAAGCTTAATCAAAAGGAGGAACAGATTAGACGCGAGCAAGGTATACTCATGGCGAGCGCTTGCAAGAGCTCCGATCCGGCGAAATTTACGATCACCGAGATGACGCTCTTTGCGGAAATGCTACTCTCCATACTTTGTGTTCCTGTGTGCAACTGTGATCATTCGCCCTGATCCAAAAGCGCCCAGTTTATCTCGGACAGCGGACTACTGTGATCGCTCTCACCAGTAAGACCACCGCCCTCTCCCACCGAGTCTTGCACGAAGCTCGAAGGCTGAAATGTATCGTATTGTATTGGGCCCGGGCTGAATGCACCAGTTGGGCTGCTTCGTGACATCGCTGGCGGGAAGAAGTGTGTTCCCAGGTAAAAGGAATTCTGGGCATCCTTGGCGATCTGCTGATCGGTCGATACGTATTGTTGACCATCACTGCCATCATTGGTATACACGTTGTCGTTTTTGTTGTCGTCGACATCAGGGGTCGCTAATTCAGCTGCGTGGAAATGTAAGCCTTCGTCGTCAAGAGCATTAGAATCGTAGTACATAGGCTGATTCAGTGGAAAACTCGTATCGAATATCGGGAGCGCTGCATTGTTAACAGGCGTCGGGGTTTGCGGCCCTGGTGTAACAACCAGGTCTTGTGGCACCGGCGCTGCGAAGAGCGATGGGTTGAAGTCGATCGTGGTCGTGCTATCGAACACAGCGAGTGCACCTTGTGGCTCTGCTTCCTGTTGTGAAATTACCAGTCCTAGGCTGTCCTTAGCCAATACCTGTGAAGGCAACTTAAGTTTCACGACAAGAGGAGCACCACTTGGTGCTGTGGGATCATTGTGGCTGATACCCCTGCGGGCACTGTTCGCTATGGAAGGCTTAGTTGCTTGCATATAATCGAGAGGTACAGCAGTCGAGGCGTTGGACGCAACGGATTGGGACTGTGAGAACGCCGAGTCGGAATCTGAGTTTCGGCTAGGCGTAGATTCTCGAGAATCTGATTGCGTCGAGGAAATCTGAGAATAATCAACCTTTTTGTCGATCGTGCGGGCGCTACGGCGAACCTCAGGCGGGGATTCTGCGTCTGTATTTGCGACTCGACTATTGAAGGCGTCATGATGGCCGGGGTATGAACGATCAAAAGTCTTTCGCTTCCGCTGGACATGGTGAGATGCCTCTGGGATAGCTTCAGCCCGTCTTTTTGGACGATCAAGCTTCTCGATAGCGTTCGGAGAGAGGCCTGTGGAACCTTTGATTGTATCATTCTCGGGACCGATACCGCTGTCCTTGCGACGCGTTGCCTCCGTTGCATTCATAAGCGCATCAGATAGCAGCCCTTGCTGCCGTTCTATCGTATTCATGCGCATCATCTTCGCCATTTGCGAGGCTGCTGCAGCTTGTTGTTCCTGCTGCCGCATCTGCATCATGGCTTTTCGCTGATTCAAAACTTGGAGCCAATGTGTCTCACACGACTCAATGAAGGTGGTCAAAGTCCAATACTGTTCGATGAGGGTACTCCTTTCTTGAACAAAGGGAAGACCAACAGCTTTAGTATGGAGGAACTCAGCATCACGCCCGACACTGGAGATTGCGAAAGAATTGGCTTTGCGACCTCCAGTATGAGCCTCGGCAGCGATACGTAGCTGCAAGCCACGCCATTGCAAGTCTTCACTGAATACATTAATCTGTCCGTTCATGTTGGCAATGTCTTTGCATATGATGGCCCGCTTGTTGTAAGCTTGATCGACCTCTTTGCCTGCTGCAGTAACGCCGCAATAGACACGTCCGATGCCACAGGCAACGCCTGCTCGCAAGTGTCTGACTCCGTAATTGGCGCATGAAAATGTTTGACGGAAGGCTGAAGGCGACGAGCCTTGTTCGTAGACGGCGGCGGCACAACGGTCAGAACCGTTGAGCTTTGTATGGCCACAGGCGTAAACTGTAATGGTCTCTTGACACATGATGGCTTCTCGACAAGTCCATCTAATGGTGGAAAAATCGCCGAGGAGAAGAGACGGTGAACAGGAGTTTGCAGATCGAAATTAGAGTTCTCAAAGCTGATGAGCTGACCATAGAAAGGTGACGGCCTTCACATGTTGGTCATTCACGGCAATTCCAGACAGAGTTCTTTCACCACCTGCAGTCACCATTCACTTTCTCACACGAATGCTTGCTTGCTTGCTTGTTTGCTTGCGCGGGATCGCGGGAGTGTCGAGCTCAAGGTCATTAGGCATGTGTTTGACGCTAAAACTCAATTTCTTCCAAGGTTGAGAAGGAAGCCCTGGCGTGTTGGAACTGCAGCTTCCCTTTCACACATGCCTGTCGTTCACGGTCTCCAACGTACCTGGGGAGGTGTCCTTGACCCCTGGGCATGCTACGGTCTCCGAAAGATTCACTCACCAGAGGGCCATGTGCGAATTCCACAGACAACGCGACCACAAAAGCACCATGGCGCAAAGCATCTTGAAGATCGTCATGATAGAATACTTCTTATTCTATCTAATGGCTTTTGGAATGCGCGTCGGCCAAGGATGACCACAACAGTGAGTGCTAGATCGGGCGGAAACGGCACAAAAAGTGCAATACGTGTGACCCGCGAGGACGGATCGACGCAGTATATATCCACCAGCGCTGGTGTCGTAACCACATTTCGTGTCGGGTCACTGTTGCCACTTTCGCTCACGTCCAAAGATGCTCCCATGCTGAAAGGACGTAGATGCAAGGTAGCCCAAATGGGTCAAAGCGTTTTCCGTGAGAACTCATTCAGATCGCTAAGGATCGATTGGCTTCCAAGGTTCTTCCACATCCCGGAAAAATCTTCATGCGACAAACGATCTGGTAACCTCAGGCTCCACAGAAGTGACTGTAGTTCTGTGCGCTAGCCTCTGGGTAGTCATCATGTAATAATGACCAGAAGACTTCCAAGGTTGAGAGGTTCGGAGGGTGAAAGACCCGTGCGATCTATACCATGTGTACATGACAAATGATTCGATTGCCTCGACAGGGGACAGCATTCGTGCGAAGCCGGGACGTCTTGGCTGCGAGGGGCGGATGCCGAAGCTTTTACAGGGAGCGACAGTCTGGCGTGTCTGGGTCAGTGACATTCTGTTCTGGAAGCATTCCGACTTGACATAGCGTCCTCGGCAGAAACGACATGATGGCAATGAGCGGCGAGCGCACGGATCCGTAATGAGGAGACTAAATTACTTATCAAGAACGTCCATGTGGAAGTTTCTGCACGCGACAGCTTGGCACGCTTAACTTTCGACCCCGCCGCCTATCGAATCTAGCGAAGATCATGCTTTCTCCATTTGAGGTTAGAGATGTGCCTAGATACCCGTGGACGTGCTTGATGGCGCCAACAATGTCTGGCTCTTCCACTCGAAGAACAACAATCACAGCTCCATCTGGGGAACTTTCTGGGGAACTTTCGCCGTCAGCCACTACTCTCAGAGCAGGCAAAGTCTTGCAAGGCTGGAATGAGTCCACAATCAGTAGAACGTACTAGTCCACTGCCGACACTGTGTGTGATGATATCTGCATCATGCTGTGCCGCTCTGGTCACCGGTGCCGAGCAAAGTGAGGAGATTCGTCCTGCATCAGCTGCCCGAACAAAAGCGTCGGTCAATCCCAAGGACACAATACCCTACAGAGACATTTGAGGCCATCGCCCGGACATCATTGTTGAAACAGTGTCTTATTATGTTGCTTGTGCCAATACTGTAGATGAACGGCAGTAATGTCACGGATAGGGCTATATCACTCCACCGCTGTTTATCTTATGTCCGAGCCAGACAGAGATCGACACAAGCGAGGCTCCAATTTCTAGGCCGAACGAGGGGGGCCGTGCGTGTTTCTCGCGTGCGTCCCTTCTCCGCGCGCAAGGCCGGTGGAGATTAGCACTTCGAAAGCAACCTTGGAAGTCGCACTGTGCGAGCATCGGGACGCAGTGAACCAATCAGCGAGCGCCGCCCGGACTGCTGGTTATCACCCGAATTTGAAGGTTGTTTGTGATGGTCATCTTCGCCTCAAGCTCCCATTCCGAATCGGTGCCCCTCGGACTGGCGATGTCGCGCGCCATGGGATTCCACCGGAGGATGTTTTGACTGATGCAGGGCGTATAACTGAACGCTGCGCGCCGGATGAGGCACAGGATCACCTGCATACGTCAGATCATCGCCATCTCGCATTGTTGAAAACCAAAATGAAGCAAGCACAAGAAATCCCTGCCCCTTGCAGCAGTGTAGCCTTGGCCCTCGCGAATCCGTCACCTGGCTGGGTCGGTGGCGGCGGTTGAATGCACGGCGGGATGGGTACAGGATAGAATGTCTTCCTGCATGCCTAGATGCTCCCCGTTTCCAGAAGCCACAGAAACATCTCTCCGAATAGGCTAATGTTTTAGTCTCGTTCTTCTAGTCGCCCTTGCCATTGTACAAGGGTGCCCAAGAACCTGGCCAAATGGTCACTTTCGAGTTGCCCAGGTGTGATGCACACCTGCACCTGCATCTGGTACACAGGTGGGTGTGTAGCGATCAACTAATATCATCAAGAACTCTGCTCAATAATGCGCCGTTGCTTTCACCGTTGCTTCCCTTCAACCTCTGACCTTTGTCCCTCTGTCCACCTCACGTCAATCGTCTGAGACCCGTTTTTGGTGATAACTTGGGCTTGGTACAATATCCCAGACTCGCGTGTTTATCAACGTCGACCAGCATTACCACCACATAACAACCTTGGATTCTCGAATACCTGCATCGTCATCATAACCAACATCGACCTTCCTTCTCAGGGTTCCGACCTTTGCACTTCAGAGTTATACATCGTCTGTCCGTTCGTTTTCCATACCGGCCTTGGTCCTGACGCTTCCGGCGCATCCGATCTTGGATCGACGATCTTCTGATTGTCTGGCACACCACTACATCATCGCTAGGAAGCCCAGACAGAAAGAAATTGAGATAGATACAACAATAGATACGAAAATCTCGACAAAAAATTCGGATAGACAGATTCCACATTGGCAGGAGTTGATCATGTTACGCTTGCTGGGTCTGGCGCAACAGGCGCTTTTGCTGGGAGCAGCATTACACGCTGTTGCCACGCACGCCGTTGTGTTCCGCGGAGTCAATTTGGGAAGCTGGCTCGTCACTGAACCTTGGTATGAACAGAGCCCCGACGCAGATGACCCTCGACCCAATCTCCATGAGCAGATGTTCCGGACATGAGACTAATCGATTTCGCGATGACATAGGATGGTCAGCACACTTTATGCTTCAACGAATGCCCCCGACGAATGGACTTTGTGCAATACGCTCGGCAAGAAGCAATGTTTATCAGTGTTACAGAATCATTGGGCGTATGTTGAACGCTCTCGTCACGGCTCTTGACAATGCAATAAATTGTGCGATATTGACGAAAATTCACAGAACATTCATAACCCGTGACGACATGGTACAGATCAAGAATGCTGGTTTAAGGTTCGTAGTAAAGCGTGTGACCTGTCCCGATCCCAGAATGAGAGTCACTAATCATTTCTCGCAGTATGAATCATCCTAACTCTCTACACACCTCGCTGGAACAGTCTCGCTAACATCTCTTTCCTTGAAAAGACGGAGTTCGGATACCTATCGGATATTGGGCAGTTGATCTGCTTGATTACGAGCCTTATGTGGCCGGCTCAGTGAGTTCTGGAAGCGATGCGCGGACGAGTGTGAACCTCAAGCTCATCCCATGACAGTATCCATACCTCATTCAGGCAGTGCAATGGGCTCAGCAGCTTGGGCTGAGCGTTTTCATCGATCTCCACGGTGTCCCAGGTTCTCAAAACGGCTGGGCGCTGTCCGGAATTGTTGGTCACAACGAGTTTCTTGCCAACACGACCAATACGGATCGGACGCTTAATGTGCTTCGTAACCTGACTGCGGAATTTTCTCAAAGCATCTACGGAGGGGCTGTAACGAGTAAGCCACGCAGAAGCGGTTGTTTCTCAGGTGATCATGCTAATCTCCTTCGACAGACATCGAGATCGTGAACGAACCTACCATCGACTATGCCTCGCTTCGATCCTTCTACACACCAGCCTCGAACGTCGTTGGTGCAGGCAACTCCAGCGGGATCAACATCACCATTTCCGGTACGTTATCTTATTCAACGTTGTGGATCATCTACCGGATCCCATACTGATCTCCTTCGTTTCTAGATGGATTTTACAACCCCCACTCGTGGCAAAACTTCGATCCATGGAATCCTCAAGCAAATCAAACGGCGCCGCACATCACGCTCGATACCCATCAGTTCTGGGCTTTTCCACCGCTCGACAAACTCGACAAAACAGGCGTGCTGAACTCGATCTGCACCTTTGCAAAGAATCAGTTGCGCGTGGACCCTAGCGAGGGCACGCCGCCCACGCTTGTTGGTGAATGGTCTTTAAGCACGGGTGTCACTTCGAAGAGTAGCGTCGACGCAGCTCAGGACCGCGCCAAGCGAACCTGGTTCCGACAACTTTTCGAGGCGCAAAACGCGGCCTTCACCCCTACGAAACCTGGCGATGCCTCGATTGGCTGGTATTTCTGGTCCTGGAAGACAGACTATGACGTTGATGCGTGGTCGTACCGCAAGGGTATCGCACTGGGCTATATCCCTTCTAACATCAGCGATCCATCCACGTATGCCTACCCTATCGGAAGCGATGGCTGTATCGACCAGACATTCCAATGGAATGCACCCATGCTTTCGACTGCCACCCCGACATTCGGCATTGCCGCAGGTGCAACAGGCAGTGTCGCACAAAAGGGCGCAGGAAACTCTCGAGCCGCATTACCGTTCTCAGGAGAGCACGGCCTATGGTCATGGGCAGCTATCGGTGCTGCTTCATTCCTGGGGATGATGTTATAGATTCGGAAGATTTCTGTTTTCTGCGCATAGACAATGTTATATACCCCAAAATTTGTAGAAGAGGAGGAGGAGCTTTTGCTAATTTGTTCCCGGCATTGCGGATCAGGCTCGGCGGCAGGTTTCTTGTTCAGCAATTGTATTTTCGGCATGGGCGTTATGGGTGGCATGAGTATATCGGATGTGCGATGGTTAGCTTCTTGAGTGATACCCTCTCACGGATCCTTTTCATTTCAAACATATTAGAAATTCATGATCTGAGCACCCGTCCTGGCCATTCCTGATTCTTATTGAGCTGAGAAGGGTTCTTGCTGTTCACATGTCGGTCCGGGGGTCGGCTTAGTCCGACGGTCTGCAGATGTCGCTCTTTGTTGCACGGAGCTGTGGGACTTCAAAGGGCACTCGTTAAGTTGATGGCGAGGTCGTGTGCAGAGAAACAAGCATGTGACTAGGCACAAACCTCCAACGTTTGGCACACTCGCATATTGAGAACGGGACGATCTCGCAACGTTTCCGTTTGATGAATCTTTTCTGGTTCCCAAAAGCTTGGCGAACTCTTGTTGTTCTGTGCATATCCCATCTGTCGCAATACGCACCTGTCGTTACCTTGGTATCACTGCTACTAGCCCCAACCATGTTTCCTTAGTACTCGCTGCTGTAAGTAAGATGAAGTTGGCGGCGCTTACGGTCGTCAACGTGCTATCTCACGATTGCCTTTCTAGCATGTGGGATTCCCATCAAAGTGCGATCTGCGGGCCGGAATTTCATCACCGCCACCATTGCCCGTCCCATTCAGGATCCTCACGTAAGAACCCGAGTTGATGCTCACCTCAAGATCCCGGTCGTTTGTTGAAGCCCGTGGCCTGGATGAAGCTGACTCAAGGAGACGAACCGATGACGCCGACGTCATGCAACACGCCATCTTTTCGGCTTCACAAAGTTCATCTGTGCTTTCCCACCCGAAGCTTGCCCGTGGGCAGGTTGAATCTTCATTCACCTAATTACAGCACTGGAGGATGGACAATCATAGGACATATATGGTGAGGGACGCTTATCCGATTAGCATTCCCCTTTATTCGTGTTCTCCACCCGGGGAAACGTACTCGGGCACACACTAATAATAATAAGAATAACCGTGAATTGTCCATACGCCCTATGTAAGGTTTCCCGCAAGGTTGCCCAGGTGAGTTCCAACCCGCCTGGTGGTGGACGCGAGGATTCGTCCCTGTCAGCACGCACCCACGGACATTTGGAAGTCCGATCATCTCGGTCTCACGTGGCGCGGATTTAATCATCACCATCGGGCGCCGCATTGCACTATCGCCGTCACTTACAACCGACGTAGCTCAACAATTCTTAATTATAATTATCCATGGATAGCCACTAACTACTACAGTACTGAGTTACAAAACAATCATTCGTGCGTTCATTCTCGCGATATTCACCCAACAAACAATTTGTCGCTACATGTGTGAGTCGCTCCTGCGTCTCTGACTGCTTCTCGGTTTTCTGCACTGGTATGTGTGTCAAGTGTCAGTAATTTTGTGCGCGTCATGTACGATCCTGTCACTGATGATGCTTCGAATCAGAAATTAGGCCTCGAATACCCAGGTACTTCTGATAACATCCGGATCGGAACTGTCAGGCGACTTCCACCTTCATAAGCAACCATCACTCACTATCGAAGCAAGTCGTGCGCGATCTTTGATCAGCAAGATTGATCTGGCCTGCGACAAAGCACATCAGACATGGCTACGTCCGAAATATCGCAGCAGAACGCTGCTGGTGCGGAATCGCTAACTGATCCCCATCATTTATCCACTTATACTCAAGCCGCATCATATCTCGAACCCCCCAGCAATGCAGAGCACTCGTATGGAAAAGGCTCTGAAACGTCTGCCGAATATTCTCACGGCAAGGACTCTTATATGACCGCCGCGGAAGAGCCTCAAGGACAAGACTCCGGTGCGACAAGTCAGGAAGACCACAACGATGCTTCAAAGGATGCAAAGGATGCAAAGGATGAGCCAGTTGTCGAAGAAAAAGATGGTAAGCGGATGATCCAAGGGCGCTCCGTCGGTAAAGTGGCCATCATCATGGTGGCCCTATGTCTCGCCGTGTTCCTCGCCGCGCTCGATGTCACGATTGTCACCACGGCATTGCCGACGATAAGTGAGGATTTTCAATCCACCAGTGGCTACACGTGGATTGGTAGCGCGTTCCTGTTGGCGAATTCCGCCTCAATCCCGTCATGGGGCAAAATCTCCGACATCTTCGGTCGCAAGCCCATGTTACTTTGCGCCAATGTCATCTTCTTCATCGGCTCTCTTCTTGCGGCGGTCTCGGTGAACATTGGCATGCTCATCGTTGCGCGAGCAATCCAGGGTATCGGTGCCGGAGGCCTGATCATTCTTTCCAACATTGTCATTGGTGATTTGTTCCCGTTGCGCATCCGTGGTGCATTTTATGGTGTCATTGGGGCTGTTTGGGCTGTGGCCTCGTCGATCGGTCCCATTATTGGAGGTGCTTTCACACAGTCTGTCACTTGGAGATGGTATGTTCACCCGTGCCTGGAACGAACATTTCGGAGTCGGCATCCCCTTATGCACTAAATTCATGGATGGCAATCTGACACCTTACAGGTGCTTCTATATTAACCTTCCTCTCGATGGCCTCGCCTTTGTCATTCTGCTATTCTTCCTCGACATCAAGACCCCAACCACGCCATTCTTGGACGGCGTCAAAGCTATTGACTGGGTCGGCTCTTTACTCATTGTCGGCGGTACTCTAATGTTCCTCTTCGGCCTGCAATACGGCGGCGAGACTGCTCCGTGGGATTCAGCGTTGGTGCTCTGTCTCATCATTTTCGGTATCTTCACGTGGGTTCTCTTTGGCATCTGGGAGTGGCGCTTTGCGAAGTATCCGATCATGCCTGTCGGTCTGTTCCAGAAGGGAACCAACGCTGCTGTGCTGAGCGCTGTGTTTCTACACGGTGTTGTGTTCATCGCAGGTATGTGTTGTTGCCTTTCGCATATTTCATCAGCCCACCTTCTTATCCACTGACGTTCGTTCTCTGCGATAGGTTCCTACTATCTGCCACTATACTTCCAAGCTGTGCTGGGCGCGACACCGATCCTCTCCGGCGTATATCTGCTCCCAACAGCACTGGCCCTCGCGTTCACCAGCATCGGAACGGGTGCGTTCATCGCTAAGACGGGACTCTTCATCCCTCCTATCTATGTGGGGTTTATCCTGATGACGCTCGGCTATGGTCTCTTCATCGACCTTGACGCCCATAGCTCATGGGCTAAGATTATCCTGTATCAGATTGTGGCAGGCTTTGGAATTGGCCCGCTGTTCCAAGCGCCCATCATCGCTCTACAGGCGCACATCAACCCTCGCGACATCGCCACGGCGACGGCGACTCTGGGATTCGTGCGTCAACTCGCCACCTCGACCTCGGTCGTGATCGGTCAAGTCGTTTTCCAGAACGAAATGAACAAGAAGCTTCCCACCCTGATTGCTGCTCTCGGCACTCAATTGGCCGAGCGACTTTCCGGTGCAGCGGCAGGTGCAAATGTCGCGCTGATCGACAGCCTACCCGCTGCTCAGGGGACGGTGGTACGCGAGAATTTCGCATGGTCTCTGCAGCCCATGTGGACCATGTACACAGCCTTCGCTGGCGTCGGCATAATCTCCGTGCTGTTCATCCGTCGCAAAGTTCTTGCGAGTGAACACGAGGAGACCAAGACGGGTCTCGAGGCGGAGAAGGAAAATGCTGAGGCACGTAAAGCAGAGAAGGCAGCGAAAAGGGCCGCTGCTTCACCGAGGAGGTCAAAGGACGTTGAGAAAGGAAGCGATGTGTGAGTCGTATCGGGAGAAAGGTATAGTAACTTAATCGGAGCATGGTCTGTTGAAGCCAAATCCGCCTTTCCTTGACGGGAAGGACTTATTTTCTGAATCATGTAGATTACGAAAATTTAATGTGAATATGATCATGGGCTCACTGTACGCACTCATCGCTCCCCACCCAATGGCAATTGTCGCCATCTAGATTCACACGGCCTGTATCATGCATCCAGTGATTATACTTTGAAGCGTGTTAACGCGATTTGTTGCTCGAGACATCCCTGCGCCTTCCCTCTCCACCATGCATTCGGATCACACCACCTGTATTCCTGCGCCCGACGGTTTAAGAAGGATAGGTCATCCCGGTCACATCAAATAATACACACAGAGTGTTGTTGCTCAAGAGGAGTATCAATGCTGCAAGCATGGGGAGCGCGGCCAAGGTAAGTCTCGCTGCTGTCAACTTGCTGCGAAGATGGGAAGAAGAAGAACAATTAACGTAATCTATCACCGAGCGGGCCAAATCACCGAACGGGCCATTTTGTCTTGGCATTACAACTGAGGTGACTACAACCGTTGTTTATTCAACCACACACTTAGTTATACATCTGCTATGCTAGGATATGGTTCAGAAGGAGCATCTCTATCTGTCTGGCAAGTTCGTGAGTTGTGTCCAGCTATTCCGCAGTTTCTACATCGTCGTTGAGTTGGAGGTCCTCGTTCAGACTCAGCTTCATTA